TTATCATCCCGGCATAGTATTGCGCGTAGTCCGGTTATTGTGGCAGCTCGTAAGTCCGTAACTCAGGAGGAGACCCTCAACTGACCGAGTTCCAGAGGACCGAACGTGTCGTGGTTGAAAGCCCAAATACACATCAGGTAACAGATTTCTATATGGTAACCTGAGTAATTATATTAGTACAACTGTCAACTCTTCACTATCTTGCTCTCGCCTCCCGACGCGCAGAATAACGTGTTAACGATTGTATTTGTAACTTCAGGGTAAATTCAATATATTGTTGACTCTAAATTGTTTTTTTTTTTTAATGTTCCTTTCGTCCGACTCACTAGAGACTAGGAGAACACGAGATTCTGCTTATGCATGTCTCCGGCTTCAAAAGTAAGCCCATAACCTCTGCTCTTTACAGGACCTGAGACCTAGGAGTCCTTACCCCTATCCCGAAAATCCCTTATCTTCTCGTAAATCCACGAAGACGAGCCAGCCCTCCAGACCAGTGTGACCAGTATTCCTTGCAGCCGCTCGCAGGGTTAGCATCCCTTGAGAATCTATTGAGTATTACAATTGAAATAAAAGTCGTCTATGTAAAAATCATGGCAAAATTAATGAGCAAAGTAAATATTGTGGGTTTTAACTCTTTTTTTACTGGTTCCTCTGGTAGCGGCTTCTGGATAATCCTATATGGAATACCATTATATTTTTCTAAACTTTTTTGCTTCTATGGAAGTTTTTCTCCTCTTTACGAACGGTTGTTAAAATCTGTTGTTTTGTTGCCTTCAGTCTTACCATTTACTAATAGCAGACTAGTTATTTTAGTATGGAGGAATCTTAGAGAGATGTGGAGGTGTTTGTTCTTCTATATGCAAAAAACAGTTGTCTTAAATTTTGATATTTAATTGCTGCCCAGCTACTTTTGTCTTCTTCTACCTCTTCCTTCTTGTATGTAGGCTTTAAAGCCTGTTTCGTCTTCAATATTAGCCTCCTAAATTGTTTAAATTGTCGCACCATCTTTTTCTTGGCCTGCCAATAATTCTTCGTCCATTTGGTGACTAAACATTGCTTCCTGCTTTATTATTTTTCCATCAATTTCGATTTTACACCATAGTGGGTATTTAGATGTCATACATTTGGTTTTTTTTGCTAATATTTTTTTTAAACCTATTCTCTATCCTTCCATTGTTGGATATAGGTCTCCCCCAGTTCTCTCCATCTTTCCCTATCTTGAGCTGTTCTCTGCCATGTGTGACCTCCTTGTTTCCTGATGTCATCTTTCCACCTCATCTGTGGTCTGCCTCTTGATCTCTTTGCATTGTATGGACGCCACTTTCCGATGGCATTGTTCCATCGTCTGTCTTGGAGACGTTCATTGTGTCCAGCCCATTTCCATTTCAGTTTTGCTGCTTGTTCTATCGCGTCTACTGTCTTTGTTCTGGTTCTGATCCACTGGTTACGTTTTCTATCTCTAAGTGATACACCCAACATTTGTCTCTCCATCGCTCTTTGTGCCTTCCTTATCCTATCCAAATTGGTCCGTGTAAATGTCCATGTCTGTGCTCCATAGGTGAGCACCGGTATTATACAGGAGTTATATACCTGGCTTCGTAAGTATAGAGGGATTGTTTGATTTTTTAGAACGTAATAAAGTTTGCCGAACGCTACCCATCCCATTGTTACTCGTCTCGATATTTCGGCTGTTTGATTTTCTCTGTTAGCTCTAATTGCTTGTCCTTTGCTGCTTTTATCATATTGCTGATATTATCGTATTGTATTTCTTGGCTGTTTCCTTAGTATTGAAACTGCGTGTTAATCTTTGGAGCTCGTCTTCTATCTCGACGATTAATGCGGCGTCGTCTGCATAACATAATATTTGGATTTCTTTGTTCCCCATTCTGTAGCCATGAATTTTACGTACTGCTTGTATTATTTCGTCCATTATTATATTAAAGAGAAGTGGGCTTAACGAGTCACCCTGTCTGACTCCGCTTTGTACTTATACACACTGTGTTAGTTTTCCATTTATCTTTGCCTGTATTCGATTATGGAACTAGATGTTTTTGATGGTTTGTATTATATTGATTGGTAACATAATACCCTGCATTTTATTCCTTAGTAGTTCGTATTTTTCACCTCTCATGATGTGCCCCAAGTATTCCAATTTCCTGATTTTTATGGACTTTAAAACTTCACATTGTTTTCCTAGTTGTTGAAGAACTTGTTAGTTTCCACATCACCACCACAGGAGATTTATACCTCTATAATTTTTGGGGTCTAATTTTGTACAAGTTTTGTCATCTCTAGGGTTATACTGTCTTCTCCGTGTTTTAGAAGCTCGTTGGTTATTCCATCTGCTCCTGGTGACTTTCTATTTTTGAGTGAATTTATCGCTATCTTTACTTCCTGAAAACTTATTTCTATTTCGTGTCCTAATTCAGATACGTTATTGTGTTGATTATTATTTTCCTTTCCTTTAAACAGTTCCTTCAGATAGGTAACAATAAAACACTGAAAACTTTGTTTTCAAACTTCCACAAAATTTATTTTAAATCTTATCACTACAGCTGTTTCGGCTGATTGCCTTTCTCAAGTGATCTATTTTTGGCTTGGGTTTACAAATTTATAGTCTCTAATGAAATAGGTTGAGGAGGGGAGAACTGTTTGTCTCAAGTTGGTCATTCAGAATTATATCTGTGTTTTTTAATTTGTTGATTTCTATAGATTCGAACAAAGATAGCTTAAGGCCTTTATTTTGAATGTGAAGAATTCTAAATTTATCATTAAAAGAATGATTATGATCTAGAAGGTGAAGTGCGTATGTCGAATCTGTTTTTCTATTCTTGAAAGACTTTTTATGTTCTGCTATTCGTTTATCAAAGTTTCTACCAGTTTGACCGATGTAAGTTTTTGGACAGTCGCCACATTCAAGTTTGTACACACCACTAGGTTGTTATTTGTTCGGAAAGCTGGTGTTATTCCTTTCCTTTTTATGTGTTTGGCAATTTTTGTTGTTATTTTGCCTGTATATGTAATCGAGCAGAAGGTATTGGGTTTTTTCTCTGGTGGTGGAAATACTAATTCCAGGGCTTTCTTGTGTAGTTTTTGATTTAACATTTTATTAATTGTTTGTTCGTTGTATCCGTGTAGTGTAGTATTTCCACCACCAGAGAAAAAACCCAATACCTTCTGCTCGATTAGATATACAGGCAAAATAACAACAAAAATTGCCAAACACATAAAAAAGAAAGGAATAACACCAGCTTTCTGAACAAATAACAACCTAGGCAAATATATTAAAAACAACAAGAGCCAAAATAAAAAACACTTAAATAGTGGTGTGTACAAACTTCAATGTGGCGACTGCCCAAAAATTTATATTGGTCAAACTGGTAGAAACTTTAATAAACGAATAGCAGAACATAAAAAAGCTTTCAATAATAGAAAAACAGATTCGACATACGCACTTCACCTTCTAGATCATGATCATTCTTTTAATGACAAATTTAAAATTCTTCACATTCAAAATAAAGGCCTTAAGCTATCTTTGTTAGAATCTATGGAAATCAACAAATTAAAAAACACAGATATAATTCTGAATGACCAACTTGAGACAAACAGTTCTCCCCTCCTCAACCTATTTCATTAGAGACTATAAATTTGTAAACGCATGCCAAAAATAGATTACTTGGGAAAGACAATCAGCCGAAACAGCTGTAGTGATAAGATTTAAAAAAATTTTGTGGAAGTTTGAAAACAAAGTTTTCAGTGTTTTATTGTTACATAAAATGAATTTCCATCAACCTTCAGATATCTTTCCTATTCGTTTGCAGATATGTTATTGTATTCCTTCAATTCTACCATTTCTTTCCCTTGGTTTCTTATGAATCTCCATATTTGTTTGTGTGTACCGTAGAATTCGCTTTCCATCCTTCTTACCAACTACCTTGTTTCATTGCGTATTCTCCTTTAGTTGTCTCGGGATTCTGGGATACTTTTCTCCATTAAAATTATCCTCTTAGAACCATAAAATCTTTGAAATCTTTTTCCATGAGATAATATTAAGGGATTAGTTGATTTTCAATACAATAAGACGAAACAAGTAACAGAAAAGATTATAATTGTTTTGATTTTTTATGGTAGTTCATTTTTAAGGGACCAGAAATATCCAAATTATGATGGAAATAGAAAAAAAAGTGAATCGTAAAAACAATTTGTCAGATGCAGTTTTGTAAAAGGGGTAATTAATCTCGGAAGAGAATTGTCTCAAAGTGAAGTACAAAAGATCCAAAATTTCTTGAGCGGCAATTACTAACTGTATATCAAAGGTACAGCAAGGAGAAGGGAAATCTATAAATAAGAAAATATAAAGAAGACATCGAGATTTTAAGTCAAATGATATTGTTATAGATGAGTATTGTCCAGAATTAATTTTAGAATTCAATTCTAATATAGCTAATAGTAGTTTTCAGTTTTATATTTACGTTAAATTATCATTGAAACCAAATATATTAAATATATTACAGTATATTACACATAAATACCTTTAAAAACGTATTTTTTCAAAAAATATAATAATTTGCTATCAAAACAAAAATTGTTACGTTACGCCAATGGTTTAATATTTTATTTAAAGTATACTTTGTTTAAATAGGTAGTACCAGTGGCGCACCCAAGGGGGTTTTTGAGGGTTTAACCCCCCCCTCCTGGGCACCATTCCGACACTGTTACTCACATATTTTAAGGACTTAAAATGGTGGAGGTAGCATAAAAAATAGTTCGGTGCCCAACCAAAGAAAAATTCTAGGTGCGCCACTGGGCAGTACATCAATATTTTATGAAGCTATTTTGCATAGTTCCGCGAAATATTGTACATAAATTTGGATTTTCAAGTAACCTCAAACAGCAGCTTTTTTAACTCAGTAAACTATTTTTAATCTTACAACTGATGTAATTACTCTAAACTTGTAGAAAATTAGAGTACCTATGCTACGATTGTTTTTGGAATATCTTTAATCGCTATCGGAACTAGATTCTTCGGCAACGGGAGCTGGTTGGGCTGGCTGGGCCGGTGGAGCCGGTGCTGGAGTAGTTTTCGAAACGTACGTCGCTGAAGCATAAGCGTTGGGCGAATCGCCCTCTGTGTGTTCGATGCCCACTCTGAAAATGAAATACGTTAAGAGACGTAAACGATGTTTTCAACACACACTGAAAAAGTACAAATTTTTTTTATCAATTAATTTCATGTCTCCATCGGCCAAGTTACAATAAAAACTGTGCAAGTATCTCAATATGTTAATCATCCTAAGGCGATTTCTGTCAAAACACAAACTGCATTGCACAAATATGCATTGATAAACTAAGAGAACCAAATACATACCAAAAAACTAGAAATAAAATAAATCAGAGTATCCAAGAAATAAAACAATAAAATAAGAACACTACAGATATTGAAACAAATTGAAAGAATATAACGAACACAGTAGAGACTGTGGGATGGAAAACATTTACATTTACAAAAGCTGCCAAACAAGAATGGACGACACAAGAAATTCTCGAAAAGATGGACGAAAGAAGAATGCATAAAAATAAAGATAAAATTAAATATCAAGAAATTAATAAACAAATAAAATAGAAAATAAAACAAGCTAAGGAATTATGAATGTCCATTAAATGTCAAGAAATTGAGGAATATGAGGCAAGGTATAACACTTTCAACACCCATAAGAAGGTTAAAGAAATGATTTCAGGAAATCGTAACAAACCAATCAGGATATTAACAAATGCAGATGGTACCACTATAACTGAAACGCAAGACAAATTACGTAGATGGAAAGAATACATTGATCACCTATTTTATGACCAAAAAGTAGAACAATTAGAAGTTGACGGAGAAAACCACGGGACCAGAAATAATGAAAGAGGAAGTTATTTATGTCATAAAACACACAAAAGGTAGAAAAGCTCCAGGACCCGATAAAATAAAAATTGAACTATTGCAGATAATTGATGAAGATAATATTGATGTCTTGGTAGGCCTTTTTAACTCCATATACAAGACGGGATACATACCCAAAGAATGGCTTCTCTTAACTTTTGTAACGATTCCAATAATCACAAATGCTAAAGATTGCAATGACTATCGGACAATTGCATTAATGAGCTATACATTGAAACCTTCCTTAAAATCATACATAACAGAATCCACATGAAATTAGAACAAGAAATAGGTGATTCACAGATGGGTTTTAGAAAGGGTCTAGGAACTAGAGAAGCAATATTTGGAGAGAATTAAAATTATTCAGAAGCGAGGCCAATAAAATTAAAATAGCGATGATGATTTCCAACCTCCGATGAGAGAAGGAACCTGAAGAAGAAGATCACTGGAACACTGCAACTATCACAGATATCTGGGTGATAAATTAGACAAAACACTCTCATTCAAACAACATTTTCATGAACTGAAGAACAATGAAGAACACTGTCAGGATGTCTGCGGGAGATAGTCTGGTCAAATACGTATATGCGCACAGATAGTAAAATTAGAATCTATAAGACTTGCATACGACCGATCATGACATATGGCATAGAAGTGCGCGAAGATACCAACAAAACGAAACAGATGCTAAGGGTTGCCGAAATGAAAACCCTAGGAACAATAATGGGAAAAACAAGAAGAGACAGAGTGAGAAATACAAACATTAGAGAGCAGTGCAAAATTCAAGATATTGTAAGATGGGGAAGGCAGCGCAAGAGGATGTGGTACAACCATGTAAGACGAATGGATGAGAATAGACTCCCAAAAATTGCCCTAGAAAACAATCCGCCCGGTTCAAGACCCCCCGGAAGACCACCTAAAAGATGGAGGGATAGTTGGCAATCTACCTCCCAAGAAATTAACCAGAGGCAGCTTCAGAATTAAACAGATCGAAAGATCTACAAAAAGTAGAAGAAGAAGAAAAACAATGTACACCAAATGCGAGGGAAAACATCAACCACAAGCTAACAGTCTTCAGATGAAAAGTGTAACCACAAGTATTGCGAACATTGTCATTGGCACTTTGCAATGAGAGTATGAGAATTGTTACTCGCTTTTTGAAACCTCCTTGGCTCCGATCTTTATAAACACTAGCTAGCATAGTAAAAACACATGTAAGAAGAAGAATGGTAACTGATATAGAGAGAGAAGAAAACACAGGAGCTGAGACACCCAAATTTTATTTACATTACTTCACTGCTTCGCCTTTTATCAAGACACAGTTTTATCCAAAGGACTATACATCACGACAGACACGCTGTGGAAAGAAGCAGTTCCAGACAATTATCATTTATCTATAGCCTAATGATAACATCTCGACACAAGTTCTATTACTACCATTTCAACAGATTGAAGGTGGGGGATGTCAAGATGAAGGATTAGCAGAGTCAAGTTGGACTGTGATGTTATTAATCCTTGTGATTGTGTGGAAAGATATAGATACCAGATCATCTATTGGTCTATATAAAAACGAACTCTACTTACAGTTATCTTTGTGCGTGCAATGATCGCGTCTCATGTTGACACCAAAGAGGAAAAAAGGAATAGACATCTTGTAACATGGTGTTAAACTAACAATAGTATATGTACTTGTGATTGCCACAGGTGCAGCAAAAAGTGTTATACTTAAAATAAGCAAGGTACAAATACTTGCTTCCCTTGGAATCTCAGAGTTTCTGAGAGGTACACGAACATTAATTAGAGACCCTCTACTGTACGTAAACGTGACAGATCAACATCATAAATGAAATCAGGAATACCATACGGATGATACACACTTAAAGTACTTTTCTAGGTGAAAATCTACCCACGAGAGAGATGGGGTAGGGGAAATACACAATGGAAATAGTATATTACTTTATGAGGCGGAGAAGCATGACTTTTCTTTCGTAATAGAGGGCAAGTCAAGAAAAGTCGCTTCTTTGCCGAATAAAGTATACTATTTTTTCTTCAAACGTAGCAATTTTCAACCATAAATAGTACAATTCATACGCTGTTTTTTACTCGAAATTAACTGTGACAACTATCAAAGTCGTCTAGATGTTAGAAATTAAAATAATTAAGTCGTGGGTGGGATTTGCGTCTTCCTGGTTACAGTTGTTTGACAGCTGTTTGCAATTATTAAAGACAGCTTATTGTTGTTGCAACCGCAAGCGCAAATTTAGTGTGAAAATGGAAAACCTCAACGAAATTGAGTCCGCGGCTAATGATGCAGTAGCACGTTTGGGGCCCTCCAAGTCCGGAATAAAGTATCGGTTAGCGTACAAGCACTTTCAAGAGTGGTGCGATACAAGAGAAGTACGGCAAGTTAACGAAGACGTTTTACTGGCATATTTTAATATAATGGAAAGTGAAAATAAATGGAAATCTTCTACAATATGCTCACGATACTCTATGATAAAATCCGAGTTAGTTATTAGAAAAAATGTGGATATAAGCAATTTTTTAAAGTTACGTGCCTTTCTGAAAAAAAAACAAGCGAAGGATATACTGCAAAGAAGTCTAAAGTTTTCACTAAAGACGAGTTTGATAAATTTTTGTTTGAAGCGCCAGATAAGTTGTATTTAGGATTAAAGGTAAAAAAAATTATATTGCAAAGCATTTAGTATACTCTACTATAGTTTATTTTTATGAACGAGAGAATAATTAGCATAATTTTAACTGGTACCTCCGACCACTCAATGGGCGTGCTCAAGATTAATTGAAAAATTACTTTGAATAATTGTAAAAAAAAAATAAATGAATTATTTCAGTGTTATAAAGTGTTATGTGTATGTAAACAAAAGTGACCTCTTTTATCACACACTATATTAGAACTGACTGGCCTACATTAAAAAGGGTTTTAAAAAATTCACATTTTTTTTAATTTTTAAAAATTACAAAAGAGAAAAAGAGTTTTTAAAACCGTCTAAGGAATGTTAAATAGATGAATAAAAATATTAATATAAAACTTACAGCTACTTGTTACAAATCCAAATCAGATTCAGAAGATGAACTTTCAGAACCAAGATTTATAATAACTGGCTCGATCATTTTATCAGTAATATTGTCCAGCTTCCACATTTTTTCCTCTTCTTTAATAGTGTGATTTACTGCCTTTTCCCAGTTTTCAGGTTTTACATTATTTACGGCCTCCAAAAACAACTGTTTAAAATCATGAATTTTAAAAGTGGTATTTTTTCTTGAAACTTCACTCTTTATCTGTGCCCATACCAGTTCAATCGGGTTTAATTCACAATGATATGGTGGGGATCTAAGTACTGTGATTCCACGATTTTTGGCAATTTCATCAATTTCGTATTTTTAAAATTTTTCTTTATGAAGGGCACACAACGAATAAAGTTCCTTTCTTATAGATCCGGGATGGTACGTAATATTTTTTGAACTCAGCCAATTCTGCAAGTCTTTTTTTAACCACTTGGTTGTGGGCAGTCCTTCTATAAGTCTGGAGTGATAACTTGCATTATCCATTACTATTACACAGTTCTTAGGAAGAAGATCTATCATTTGTTTGAACCATTCTTGAAAGACATCAGCGTTCATGTCTTCATGGTAGTTACCGGTACGAGTTGATTCAAAAGTTAATAAACCACCTTCAACAAAACCGTCTGAACTGCCAATGTGTACTATTATCAGCCTGCGTCCCTTTCCTGATGGTGAGTTTAAACCAGTAGATAAGTTATTTACAAAAGCGTGCCTTTGACTTGTAACAGTTTCATCCTGTCAAAATTTATTTGGTGTATGACCCTCGTTGAACCATGTTTCATCAATATCAAATATTTTTCTTTTTTGGTTTCTCATTTCCTTTATGGTTCTTAGAAAATGTCTTCTCCATATGACAATATCGCTTCTTTCTAATAAAATAGACTTTCTGGGATTCTTTTTCCAGCGGAAGCCTATTTCTTTTAAAAGTTTCCATAACGTACTTCGACTCATTTCTGGGTAATCCTTATCATCTCGAACTGAGACAAGAACTTTATCCAATGTTGGAAATTCTTGTCTAAAGAAGAATTCATGCACTTTCCGTCGAAGTCCTTCTTTAAAATGATATTCTATTTGAAATTTTGATTTCCCTGGAGCATTACGTGGCATTTGAAAACTACCACATTTCTCTTCTTTAATAACTCTGTAAATCGTAGATTTCCCAACACCAAGTGTACTGCTAACTAACTCAACGGTCTCATCAACACTTTCACATAAACGTTTGTCTGTAAATGATTTAAAACAATTAAATATTAATGTTTTTTCATTAACTGTTAAAGGACCAATTTTTCTGGGTTTACACGGCACTTCCAAATTTTCCATAACACTAGTATACACAATAAACTGCACCTTGCAACTGAAGTACCTACTTTTAGTGAACTGTTAAGAATTTTGAATACGCCACTTGGACCTTCCTACAAAATGGAAAAACTCACTATCACATTTTCTGTGGAATAAGTTTAGAAAGTAATTATCTAGTCAATTACTGTCGTAGATTCCTGGAATTAAAGAATTAAATGTTTAATTGTTGAAACCCTTACTTCGTGGAATGCACTCATTTCAGATAAAATAAAACGTTTTATTTTATCTAAAGAATTAAACTTTATTTTGCAAATAGGTAGGTACTTATTAAACTTTTATTGGTTATATATAACAAATAAAATAAACATCTTATATTTCTTGCAAATTCATTAGTACCTGTTAACCTCCATCACTCCGACACTGGCAACCTTATTTAGGGATTAGTAACCTTCACAACTATTGTATTCTATTCTGCTCCAACCTTTATACCTGGTGGTCATACTCAATTTAAAATTGTTTTCCTATATACTTCTGTAAACTTGTTGACAAACATCTGTTTTTCATTGAGTCACCCGTATTAACAGTTAAGGGATTTGCATACATAATTTATTGTTTTATTACTCTCTCATATATAAAAATACACTATAAATTATAAAAATATTTCAGATTGTTTTGTTAATTGGGGTTACCGGCGCCTATCGATGCGACGAAATGGTAAAAATGAAGACTGTGGACATTGGGGATAAAGAAAATGTAATAATTATCAAAATCTCAGACAGTAAAACACGACAAATTAGATCTTTTACGATAATTGGTGAAAACTACATTAAACTGTATAAAAAGTATGCATCACTGCGGCCTGAAAATTTCACAGAAAACCGATTTTTATCAAGTACCAAAATGGAAAGTGTTACCGAAGCGTCATGGGAATATATTCGATCAGCACATTAGCCCAAAAAGAAGCTAGTTATTTAAATTTAAACGATTCAAGCACATACACGGGTCACTCTTTACGACGAACTTCAGCAACACTTTTAATTAATGGAGGCGGAAATCTAGAATGCCTCAAACGACATGGTGGCTGGAAATCAAGCACGGTTGCTGAAGGATATATAGAGGATTCAATAAGAAATAAGAACGATAATGCTCAAAAAATTTTAAACCCTCATGATTCGCCAACATCGGGAATGATTGCTGAAAGTTGTTCTCGACCATCAGTATCATCAACAATTACCAATGCGTATCAAGAGTCGGGAACATTTTTGCACGGTTTCAATTTTGAAAATGCCTCATTAACTAATTGCACTTTTAATATTACTATAAAATAAAAATGATGTTTAATTGTTGTTAATGATATTTGTATTGTTGCTTTGTGACATGTTTCATATTGTTGCCATGACAACATTTTTCCCTCCGCCGTAAAGAAATGGGAAAAAAACTGCTGCCGGCGGAGACATAAAACTTTGACAGGATCAAGCTAGATAAGTAATGTCATCATTATTTGACGTTTGAAGAAAAACTATTATACTTTCGGCTGCCGAAGAAAAGCCAAATATAGATAAAGCAAACACGAAACTAGAAAAAATCTTACAGGTAACAGTATGGAAAAGACAACGCATTTTTTAGAATATACAATCGAAAATTTGGTTAATAATAGAGTAGACAAGGCTTATAACTTTTATAGAACAGTGAAAGAAGGTTCGTATTGAAAAAATTCATAATAAGATAATCAAATATTGGAGAAAATTGATTTTTGAAATATTTTTATGTGAATAAATTTTTATACAGCTTCAAATTCAATGATGACTTTTAAAATGATATAAAAGAGTCTTAAAAAATACCAACATATATCTTTTATATATTTATTCGTACCTGTATTCGTGTCGAGCCAAATACCTCACGTACTTCTCTGGTGGTTCATCACTATCGGAATTTTGGAGACTGACACTTCTGCATGTCATGTGGCTGACTTGTGTGGCTGGCATCGTGAACTCAACGTAGCAGTATTCGGCTAATTTTTCGGGCATCTGGTCATAACTTGTTAATGCTATCTTGCAGACCATATTATGGGTGGTATATGCACCTTAAAAGATAATAATTTAGTAACCGCAGGACACATTCATATGGTTAGGTTCAATTTGAGTGGGCGCATTGGGGTCTATTGGGACATCCATATACACGTTAAAATATTCAGTCATGGTGCAGTCTCTGAAGCACTTGGCGTATATCCTAATGATATATAGCACCTTTGTAACCTCCACAATGTAGTGTATTTGACTCATATCTTAAAATCAATCATATTTGATTTTGGATCCGTTGATCTGGGCTTATACACTTCACTTCACTTCACCATCCATTGTCAAAACATATTTTTTTATTGTCTGTGGAGGAGAAAGGTCAAAGGACACTAAAATTATACAAAGAAGTGGACCAGAAAAGGCTGTGTTGAACGTAGCAAGTTGGAAAAATGAGTAAGAGACTTAGAAGAGGAGAGGACATGGCGATTGAATGTTGAGACACACAACATTTTATAAAATATAAAAATTTTTTTTATACAAAACATCTTACCTTGTCCTTCTTTTGGTAATCTGGGGCATCTCCAAACTATAGCCCTGTGCTGATGCTCGTACTTAGCTTGGCCTGACGTCACCTCAATCAAGTTCTCTTGCAGCGTTTCCATCGTTCCCAAGATTCGCTCAATGCCCTTAATTTTACCAGTCCTGGAAGAAAACAAGTTTGGTATTTATTTATGAAATATATTTAAGAATAAAAGTCACCAGAAACCACTCGGAAGTTTAAAAAAAGGTGTTAAAGAACCGTTTAAAACTGAATAAAAACCAAGTTTTAAGAGAGGAGAGATATAAATACCGACAAAAGCAAGGCAATGGTAATAGCAACTTAAAAAATATATGTAATTACCATGGAATGCAAATAATTAGAAGAGACCGGCAACTATAAGTATCTAGGTATAATTATTGCGAAAATAAAAAGATAGATGAAGAAATGAACCAGAAAATTGTGAAAGTGGAAAGATTTATGGGTTTAAAGAAGTGAGTCGTGGGTACTAACAAACAAAAACAAATGTTCTTAAAACGCACAACTGTTTATATTAATTGTTCTTAAAGCTAAATAAATGTGATTTATAGAACAAGAAAGTTTATGTTTTTGTAATATATCCGGCAACCCTATAATTTGCCGTACCGGCATTTATGAAATGTTGGCTCAAAAACTGTAGATTCTCTTCTGTATAAAAGAATAATTTCAGATACTTACATATTCGATGCACAGACTTAGTTAATTAACTATTTGATAAAATAAGTTATTTGAAAACTGCTTCTATTTTAGAAGTGTGACAAGAACTATAACTTGCTTCTATTTGAGAAGCTAAAAAAAGGTTTGACTTACGTGCTTCTATTTGAGCAGGCAAAAACGAAGTACTGGTAAGGGTAGTCAGGTTTGAATATTTTGAATCTGAAATACTGACAGGCGCAGCTGATACGGAACAGCACGAAGAAGGAATGTCGTGCTAATCGCATAGTCTTGAATTTAGTAAGGTATATTAGTGAGAATAATAATTATTATCGTTTATTTATTTAACAACTATTGTAGAAAATACAATTATATTTCTACATACTGGGGGCGGGGAAAATTTAGAATACATATAAATAGCAATTGATAACTCTTAAAACTAGTGGAAGAGGACAACTTGGAAGTATTGGCAGATTTATTCAACACGGTGTACGATACGGGAATAATACCACAGAAGTGGCTAAAGTCAGCATTTATAACCATCCCTAGAAAACAAGCAGCAAAAGAGTGCTCTGATTATCGAACACTGAGCCTCATAAGTCATACTTTAAAAGTTCTGCTAAAAATAATACATAAGAGAATATACGAAAGGCTAGAGGAGGATATTAGCGAGACGCAGTTCGGGTTCCGAAATGGAATGGGTACTCGAGAAGGACTATTTGCCATCAACATATTAATTCAGCGATGTCGAGATGTAAATGTTGATCTACACTTGTGCTTCGTTGACTACGAAAAAGCTTTCGATAAAGTAAGACATGAAAAACTAATATCAATACTTATGAACAAGCGCATTGACAGTAAAATCATAAATATAGTGCAAACATTATATTGGAACCAAAGTGCCGTAGTTCAAATTGATGGGCAACACTCAGAAGAAATGAGGATCTGTAGAGGAGTTAGACAGGGATGTGTATTAGCACCACTTTTGTTTAACTTATATTCTGAAGAAATTTTCCAAAACACGCTCAATAATATCGAAGCGGGAGTCACCGTTAACGGAAAATTAATTAATAATTTAAGATATGCAGACGACACTGTGATCATAGCAACGAGTATAGAGGATCTACAACATCTTATCGAAAGCTTGAGTATCAATAGTGCTGAGATGGGAATTACTATAAACGCTAAAAAAACGAAGTACATGCTGATTACAAAAAGGCCACAAAATATACATCACCTATTAACAATAAATGGTAACGTGATAGAACAAGTAGAAAAATATCAGTATTTGGGAACTTTGATCAATGAAACCAATGATCATACTGTAAAAATAAACAGACGAATAGAGATTGCCAGATCAGCATTTATACGAATGAAGCCACTCCTAACGTGCAAAAATCTAAATTTGGAGATCAGACTACGTAACATTCGCTGTTATATATTTTCAATATTATTATATGGAGCTGAGACTTGGACATTAAAAAAATGTAATTTAAAAAGAATCGAGGCCTTCGAACTCTGGTTATACCGCAGAGTATTGAAAATATCATAGACTGATAGAATTACAAATAAAGAAGTACTGGAGAGGGTTGGTAAAGAAACAGAACTAATCACCACTATACAAACCAGAAAACTAGAATACCTAGGCCACGTGATGAGGGGACCAAAATATGAAATTTTGAGACTGATAATACAGGGAAAGATTCAAGGAAGAAGATCTGTTGGCCGAAGGCAGAACTCATGGTTAAAGAATCTACGTGATTGGTACCATTGCAGATCGATTGATTTGTTTAGAGCAGCAAGTTCTAAAATAAAAATAGCCATTATGATTGCCAACCTCCGTAGGGAGACGGCACTCTAAGAAGAAGAAGCAATTGATCGAACCCACCATTAAGAAAAGGTTTAATCAGAAATTGGAAGAGGTGCTAATTTTATTATGGAGCGAACATATTCACCTTCTACTGTTTTTACACGTACAACGCGAACTTTTCCATCCCTTCCAGTCAATAGTTCCAATATTCTACCTAGTGGTCAATTTAGAGGAGAAAGATGTTAAGATTTTATGAGAACTAGCTGATTGATCGCCAAGTTTTGTTGGGGTAGTTGCCATTTGGGTCTATGCTGCAGATGATGCAAATAATCCACATACCATTTTCTCCAAAACTCTTGTTCGAGTTTGGAACGCACTTTCCAATAAGAAAGTCGATTAGTAGTATTTAATATGGCTTCAATTTGCACTAATAAAATAGAAAGTTCTTCAAAAGAAAGGCAAGTATTGCGGAGCAATTTACTCAAATGAACAATTTACAGCTGCCTCCCAGAGTCCGCCTCAATGTGGAGATCTGGGAGGAATTAATTTCTAGGTAATTTCGGTCTTCTTCTTCTTAAGGTGCCGTGCATTTCTGCGTAGGCGTCCACCGTACATCGTCTTGTCAGGTGAGATGTTAAATATTTTGGATTAAATAATTCTGTTTTTAGCAGCATTGCGAAGCATTTCATAGCTGTGGATTCCTGTCCATTGTCGAATATTGCGCAGCCATGACATTTTTTTACGTCCGAGACCTCTCCTACCCTCTATCTTCCCTTCGAGTATCAGTTGCTGAAAAGTGTATCGTTCTCCTCGTATAATGTGCCCCAAGTATGCATTCTTCTTACTTTTTACATAATTAAAAAGTTCCCTATCCTGTAAGCCCGCTCTTCTGAGTACTTCCTCATTTCTGACCCTGTCCGTCCATGATATTCTGAGCATTCGACGCAGGCATCACATTTCAAACACTTCAAGTTTGTTAATGGAACTGGCCTTTAACGTCCATGCTTCCATTCCGTACAGGAGAACAGGCCACACGTAACACTTAAGCATCTTGTATCGGAGGTTGAAGTCCAACTTGCGATCAGTCAGAAACTTACGAAGCCTCAAAAAAGCATTTCTGGCTTGTTCAACTCTGCTCTTTATTTCATTCTCGGGGTCCCAACCCTCATTCAGCAAACATCCCAAGTATTTGAATTGCCTGACTTGTTCGATTTCTTCTCCAGAGACATATATCTTTGCGTTGGGGTAATCATTTCTACTTATAATCATTGATTTTGTCTTCTTGATATTTATTTTCAAACCCCGAGCTTCACTTGCAAGAGTTAGATCATTTAAAAGGCATTGAAGATCTTCGATGTTATCTGCCACTATGGCTGTATCATCGGCATTCCTGATGTTATTAATAAATATGCCGTTAACTTTAATACTCTTATTAGAGTCTTCCACTGCTTCTGCGAAGGCTTTTTCTACGTATAAATTGAACAGCATTGGAGGCAGTATACAACCTTGCCTTACTCCTTTTTTAATGGAGAAATCTTCTTTTTCGTTGGAATTTTGAAGACGTACTGTTGCTGTCTGATTCTAATACAGATTGGCGATGATTCTTATATCCTTTGCATCCAATCCCAACTCTTGTAGGTATTTTATCATCAATTCATGTTTTACATTATCAAATGCTTTCTCGTAATCGATGAAACAGATAAAAACATCCTTTCTTTGATCTAAACAATTCTGTATCAATGTTTGCATACTAAAGATCGCTTCTCTCGTGCCAAGTCCATTTTTGAAACCAAACTGACTCCATCCACTGACCTCTTCACATTTCTTAAACAATCTAGTGTGAAGTATTCTCAGATAAAGTTTTAAAAAGTGACTCATTAGGCTTATTAGTCGGTGGTCCTTGCAGAAGTTCGCACGTGGTGTTTTTGGTAGGGCGATAAATGTAGATCGAAGCCAATCTTTTGGAATCTGGCCCGTATCGTAGATGTCGTTAAAGAGCTTGACAATAATGTCTAGGTTTTCTTCATTAAGTAACTTGATTTAACTTGAGGTAATTTCGGTAAAAGAAAGAAAATTCGGAATTTCCTGATTATTTTCTTTGGATTTCAGAAATAAAGATAAATCTCGTAATTGACTACGAGCTCCAATAAAATTGATTCCCTTATCAGAGTAAATTATTTGAGGATTTCCCGGATGACTAATAAATCGTTTTAATGAAGCAATAAATGCTTCCGTGGACAAATAGGAGACAAGTTTTATATGGATAGCCTTGGTTACCATACACAAACACTGTATATAAACCAAGTAAATTATAAATAATGTACTATAAAATTAATAAAAAATCTTACCTTCTGTGTGCCGATTTGACAGATCCGTATCTGAAGTGTTTTTCTACCCTAAATAGATATATCCAACATTCTGGAATTGGAAAGCGTATCATTACGTCCTCGCACGGAATCTGACCCAGTTTTCTGGACGCAAATCCTGGAACCAGCACATCTGCTCTGAGTTCAACCTACAATTAATAAAATAATAAACCCTCCAAGCTAAAACCACCTTTTAAACATTGGTACTAAAACAAATACTCTAAGTGCCAGTTACGAAGATACGAGCGCCTTATGTACATAATTTTCCACTCCGTCAATAGCGCAGCGGTAACCGTTGGGTAAAAGCCAACAAGTAACAACCATTAGTTGTACTTTATAATTATATAAAAAGCATTATCACGTCCATTTCATTTCTAGACATTTTCTTTCATAGAAATGGGCTGGACACGTTGCCAGAATGAAGAACGGAAGATGGACTAGTTGAATGGAGACCAAGAGCCGATAAACGTAGCAGAGAAAGACCATCAACACGATGGCAAGACGACTTACGAAAGACAACAAAAAACTGGATACAGCAAGCACAAGATAGAATACTTTGGAGACAAACAGGGGAGGCCTATGTCCAGCAGTGGATTGAGTGGGGCTGATGATGATGATTATCATGTCACCTAATTACTATTAAACTGGGAATAAGCCACAATTAAAGATAAAAATACGTTTATTGACGTTTCAATTTCCACTTCGGAAATCGTTCTCAAAATACAAACAGTAAATTAAACAAATTTTGTTTTTTGTTACATAGTGAAAAATTCTTCTAATAATTTAATTTTATCTGACTCATTTATATTGACAATTCAGACATACATTATGCATTTTAAAGTAGACGACTTTAAAATGATATTGCCAATATTGTTGAGTTGCGCTCCTGGGACGACTTTACTTATAAGATAGTTCATTCGATTACATGAAATCAACTTTAACTTGAGAATATCCGTCAGAAAAAATCATAGCATGTAATTCGTCTTAAAAAGACAAACACATGACATGATGACACTAAAATTCTCCTGTTAGTGATTCCATAGTAAATTATGAGGGAAAACCAGGAAAAAAACCTCATAATACTATCCCGACATTGTAAGTATTTGTTCGTGAATTTAGTTTACCTTCAACAAACATCAAAATTCTGATTTTATATGTTACGTTATTTAAAAAACATAAATGATGTATCCTCTATATGTTACTGACTTACTAATACTGGTATTTTCTTATTAATAACTTCCTCTTTCAATATTGGTAACCAGATCCTACTACATTCTGCCGAGGAATTTGCGACACAATTGGCCTCATTTAACATAATTATATAATATTATATAATTATATAATAAACCAACACACACCAATAGATATTTAAATTTCAAATCAAATCACAATATTAATATAAAAAAGGGAATAATTAAATCCTTATACGATAGAGCCAAAATTACTTGTTCTAATGAAAATTCGTTCTTGGAGGAGAAACATTTGTTAACATCTGTTTTATTAAAAAATGATTATCCTTTATCGTTTATAAATAAGGAATTTTCAACAATCGATCGAATAGAACAGAACAACTTAGAACGAGATCCTACAGCATACACAAGGAATAATATGAGGAAAAAAACAATACCGTACATAAAAGGACTATCAGAAAAACTTAAAAGGATAGGAAATAAATTCAACATTTCAACAACATTCAAAACAACAAACACGTTGAGATCTATTTTGTCCAAAACCAAACCTAACAATGAACAAGAAAGGACAAAGAATTGCATTTATAAAATACCTTGTGAATGCGATCAGTTTTATTTAGGTGAATCATCAAGGCCATTAAATGTTAGAATAAGTGAACATCAATCTTATATTAAAAATAAAGAATTTGATAGATCTCAAATCTGTAAACACGCATGGGATAATGAACATAGGGTTCAATGGAGTAATTTAAATGTAGTCCTAAAAGAAACGGATGGTAAAAAAAAGAAAAATCAAAGAAGCGGCTCTAATTATGTTAAATGAGGCCAATTGTGTCGCAAATTCCTCGGCAGAATGTAGTAGGATCTGGTTACCAATATTGAAAGAGGAAGTTATTAATAAGAAAATACCAGTATTAGTAAGTCAGTAACATATAGAGGATACATCAATTATGTTTTTTAAATAACGTAACATATAAAATCAGAATTTTGATGTTTGTTGAAGGTAAACTAAATTCACGAACAAATACTTACAATGTCGGGATAGTATTATGAGGTTTTTTTCCTGGTTTTCCCTCATAATTTACTATGGAATCACTAACAGGAGAATTTTAGTGTCATCATGTCATGTGTTTGTCTTTTTAAGACGAATTACATGCTATGATTTTTTCTGACGGATATTCTCAAGTTAAAGTTGATTTCATGTAATCGAATGAACTATCTTATAAGTAAAGTCGTCCCAGGAGCGCAACTCAACAATATTGGCAATATCATTATAAAGTCGTCTACTTTAAAATGCATAATGTATGTCTGAATTGTCAATATAAATGAGTCAGATAAAATTAAATTATTAGAAGAATTTTTCACTATGTAACAAAAAACAAAATTTGTTTAATTTACTGTTTGTATTTTGAGAACGATTTCCGAAGTGGAAATTGAAACGTCAATAAACGTATTTTTATCTTTAATTGTGGCTTATTCCCAGTTTAATAGTAATTAATTTACAATGCCACAAGAAAATAGCTTCAGAACAATATCATGTCACCGTTTACCTCTCCGACTATAGTCATAAAACGTCACAAGCGTGAGCTTGGCTATTCCTATATGAAGCTTACAGTATGTATGTAAACTAAAATGTAAAAGAACATTATATTTAAAGCACTTACCTTGTACCCTGTAACACAAATTTGAGCTTTAAGTTGCAAAGGAAGCTCCCGATTCTTTGGAGGCCTCACTCTAAACCTCATTAATTCTATATAACAAGCATCAGGAGGTTTAAACCTGTAAAAAATATTTCCAATTACTCAGAATTCTTTATAGAATAAAACAAAAGAAAGTCATTTATCTCTGTTTAAATCTAAGAAGGTGAATCCCTGGTATTTTATCACTTGGTCCTGAAAATCCTGAAATTCTTTGCTATATAATATCCCTTTCATAGTCCATACTACCACTCTACTATTCCATCTTGTATGATTAGAGAGTCTTAATGAGGTAACTGGTCTATTTCATCATGGTCTCTGAAGAAATCAGAACCAGAATAGAGAAAGCTAGAGCCACATTTACTAAATTGAAAAAGGTGTTCTGCGGAAGAGATCTAAGTCTAAAACTTAAAATTCGCCTTTTGAGATGTTACGTTATGTCAGTTCCTCCTCTACGGGATGGAAACATGGACATTGAAAAAGATCGATACCAAAAAGATAGAAGCATTTGAGTTGTGGATGTATCGTAGAATATTAAGAATACCCTGGACAGAGAAAGTAACAAATGTGGAGGTTTTGGCGGAGAGTGCGGAAAGAGAAAGAGCTGATACTTACTGTTAAAAAGCGCAAACTACAATATTTGGGACATGTTATGAGGGGAGATAAATACCAGTTGCTGAAATTGATTATACAGGGAAAGATAATGGGAAAGAGATCTATAGGAAGAAGAAGGCATTCATGGTTGAAAAACTTGAGAGAATGGTACAATTGCACCAATTACCAACTGTTTAGATCTGCAGCATCAAAAATACGCATAGCTTTGATGATAGCCAAACTTCGGAACGAAGACGGCACTTGAAGAAGAAGATCATGGTCTCTACACTCCTGGCAGAGTCATTGTCGCCCTCTTTGGGCTCTTTCAATTTATTTGTCTCAGGAACTTATTCGTTTTCGGTCTTCCTTGTGGCCTGCCTAATACTGGTCTTTATTTAGTTATTTCCTTGATAACTGTTTCTGCATTTCTCTTTCTAGATGTCCCATCTATCTGAGCCTCTGTGCCTTGATAAATCTGAATGTACTGAACTCAGGTATCTGGATAATGTGCAGAACGATTTAAGGAAGATTGGTGTAAGAGCAAGAAGTAAGACAGACACTGGATGGTAGTGGTGGGCTGAACGGTGATTCTGCAATCACAGGTATAACTGTGATCGTGATTTTTATTCATTGTGATTTTTATCTGTGATTGTGATTTAACAGAGCAACGAAATATTCGTATGTGTAAACTTTTCTTTTTTTATTTGGCACTGGTTGCATTTTGAAAATGTGTGGGAATAAAAATTATTGAATATCGATACAAATACGACCAGTTATACAAAATTATTACAATGTAGACTCCAACCATATTTGTGGCAGTTTCCAGTTTCGTATAGGTGGTTATAAATGTTTGTTAGTTCTGAGACATTGTCGTTCTCCAGAAGTTTGAGCTAGTCTGATGGTATTTGGTCAGGGCCTGGAGCCATTTGCCATTTTTATTTTCTCATTTCAAAACTTGCGACTGAGACGAGAAAGTGATATATTACGTTTTAACTTTCAGGAACCACATACATAGCATAAGATCGACTGGAACGGGAAGGGTGAAAGAATGTTTTGAGGCAAGCAAGGCTCGAATGGGCTGCAGCGCCAACTAATGATGGTGATATATTTTCTCTAATACTTACTTAATTATATGAGTTTGGTTATAATCTTCCTGTTGGATGCAGGAATGAAATTCTACATCTTCTAATCTAATCCATTCCTCTGTGACCACTGGAATGATATCATGCCTACCAACTACTTCTTTACCCTGTCTCCTCATGTCATTCACTCCCAATTCTACGTCAGGCATTCCTGTCAGGAAACCCAAAAAGAACAATCTCACTCTAGCGATCTGCTTAACGATGTGGCCTGAAAGAAATATTTAATAAAGAACCAAATTTGGTTTTCACATTTATTCGCTAATAATTAAAAAACAACGCCCAAACTTACCGTCTGCCTCTTGTTCGACGTACAATTCATCAACTGCTGTTATTTGCACCTCCTCCATTTTGTAATGTAACGCTCTATCTCTATGTGCCTGAAGTTTGAACAGTGCTTCTTCTATACATACTGAAAACTGTTTCAAATCCTCGTAATTTAGAGAACCCAATTTCATCAATTGTGATACTTGAGGTGCGTGTTCTACAGGCAAGCCCAGTTTCTTTAGATCACTTCCGAATTCCTTAACGCCTACAATACATTACATATTTAGATTTATTCTAAGACAGAAACAGAGAAAGAGAAAAAATGAAAGCAAGAAAGTAAAAGCAGACTGAAAGAAACGTAAATAAATGTGGGGGAAAGGCAAGAAGGAACAGATTGAGGTAGGAATAAGAAGGTGAGACAGTGTATATTAAGAAAAAAAAATATTAAAACTCTATTTAAAATTTTGCTCTCGAGCTAATATTACCTTGATAGTCTCCTTGGATAGCGTAAGCAGCAAACTGACTCAGTTTGTTTGTAATTCTCTCAGCTTTTTTGACTTGTCCCGGTCGAACTCCAGGTCGTTCTTTATAAAAAATATACTGTAGTTTTACTGTGAATATTTTGCCGAACTGATCGTACTGTTGTGCCCCAATATCCGAAACTGAATAACAAGGTTGCAGTGGAAGCTCCTGTAAAACATATTTTATTAAAAGTTTAGTAATGCTGAACCTGTATTTGACGTAAAGTAACTGTAGAAACACAGAAAAAAGTTTAAATAAATTAAGCTACGCGTTTAATTTCCCGTTTCAGTTTTAATTTATTTAGTTAAAACTTAAAGATCTCATGTTTAGTAACAGTTTAGCAAAAGCTAAAAGAACCCAGACGTGACAGACAACGATATTATTAAATCGTTTTCGTTCATGGCCGCCAAAGCAGGTGGTACCTCTGTACGCTAACCACTACAGTGGATTGGTAAGTTTTAGGAGACATTCGTTAGACTTTCCGAAGTGTGAATTTATATCAGCCCAAGTGTCTGATGGGGCAGGGATATGCTGAAATGATTTATAACACTTCATTGATACCGATTCGAGCACAGGAAGTTTATAAGGATTTGTAAATTTGTCCTCCTATGCCATATATTTGGCCATTATCAGTTAACTGTGTCTTTTCAGATTCCATATGTGAGTCAACAGATTCCATATGTCGAGATTTAACTCCCAACCGACACAGATGTGTGTTTGGGTTAAGAGTACCTTATAGAATTTGCTTCGGTCTTGTGAAAAAGACAGTTCCTGGCGGAGGAATGTGCTAGTTGCATGGTAAAGTACATATACACAATATATTCTATACACCATAATCTTGTTGCTGCATCATCATTAAATACCGTACTTGGTAGAGGACTGAGACCTCAGTAGCCCTAAAGAAGACATCAGAGAGGATGTCAAAAGCTTGGCACAGTAGTAATCAATGCAGTTCAACCTAAAAGTCTATTGAGTTTAATATTAATTATCGTAATAGTATTAATCTTAGCTTTAGGTTTATATAGGTGACAGCGAAGTGATCAGTGAACAGTGTAGTAGTGTCTGGGGGCTCGGGAGACTGAGACCTCGGAAGCCCTGGTAGACTGGTGAGTTTGATATTAATTTTAGTAATAATATTAATCTTAGCTCTAAGTTTCATATACATATATATTATATATATATATATATATATATATATAATATATATATATTATATAATATATATATGTGTGTGTGTATATTATAAAACTGTTCACTAACCTGAAAGGGATCCTTATCATCTTTCAGGTTATATAATTGTAATAGCACGCAGTCGCTTTGATGCTGCAGTTTGACGAAAATCTTCTTCCAGAACCTCTGACCAGTAATTTTTTTCTTATTGGGTTGGCGCAGATGCATCTCCCATCCCTCTTCTGGATAATGAATTCTGGGAAACGGCTCCAAGGGTACCGACATGTCTTCGTCGAATAACGGAGTGGGAGGCGTCTCTTGGGAATCTGTACGTTTAAATTCAGTCGTGGGGGCTGCTAATGATATTAAAGAAGAATATTAAAGAAAATATAGATATATAAAGAAAATATAAATATATACAGAAAAACTGTATGTACATAGTGACTTACGAAAGGGAACTTCATTCTGAATCGCTGCTGGCACTTCATTTTGGTCGAATGGATTAAATCTGGGTGATGTATCTCCGAATGTTGCAGCGACTGTTGGTGGAGGGGGTGCAATAGTTGGAAGAACATCCCCAGATATGTCATTGGCACCTTTAGGTCTAAAATAAACATAATTATCTTTTTTTTAGAATAGTCAAATAAAATCCACCCAAAGCAAATTCTAGATATCCGAACTTCAAATTCAGCAAACGCAGGGAGTATACACAAACTAGTACTAGCAAAGATAAGAATGGAAATAACACCAAAACAAAGGGAAAAACAAAAAAAAATAAAGATATCAATACATATGACATGCTTAAGGCAGAAGATCGATAATTGAGTATATAATACAAAGAGAAAAAATAAATGAAAGAAAAATATAGAATTTATTAAAAGGTTTTTGAGAAGATGAGTAAAAAGTTTTTGGATATTAAGACACAGAAAATACTATGTAGATCTTACCTAATAAATACTGAAAAGTCTTTATCTTCATCGGATTCTTGTGAAGCAGCTTTACTGATTTTATTCGGCGTAGATTGCGGAACCACTGGCGGTTCTTGCAACGCCAAAAATGCATCGAACCCATCGTCTTGTCCGAATCCAACTGACGTATCATTCGTATTTACAAACTCATTACCCCAAGCACCTCCAAACGCCGAATCGTCAGCTTTGGCCGAATCGAATTTTTTAGCAAAATCATCAAAATCGTCACTCCCATCACCAAATGCGTTTGCTGGTTTATCGGTCGCACCAAACGGATCTGCACTTACATTTGCCGGACTATAAGCATCTCCAATTGCGTGACTGGACCCAAAGGCATTAGAATTTGTGTTGGTCGTACCAAAACCATCTGTAGTTGTAGTGGTAGTACCAAAGATATTATTTGTAGTCCCAAAAGAATCTGCAGCTGCATTAGCTGTTCCAAATGCATTTGAATTTTGATTGATTGCACCAAAAGTATCTGTCGTGGTAGTCGTAGTACCAAAAATATTGTTTGAAGTGCCAAAGAATCTGTAGTTGTATTAGCACCACCGAAAATGTCTACACTAGAATTATTTATTGCATCAAATGCACCTGTTACGTTTTCGTTAGTTGTTGTTGTAGTACCAAACATGTTTATATCGTTTGCTTTACCGAAAGAATCAGGACTTGTGTACGTGTTACTGAAATCTGCAGTAGTTGTATTTGGTAATTGTGAACCGAAAATATTTGTTTCTGTGTCAGCTGGTTCTTTAGTGACTGAAGTATCGGAAAATCCAAAGTTCATGTCACCAAATTGCGTCGAATTAATTTGTTGATCGGTGACACCAAATATATCATCCTGTAGACCACTGTTATCTGTAGAAAAGTTTGTATTATTAATATTTTCATTAATTTCCATTGTGTTTTGCTCTATATTATGACTTTCTTCATACTTAATTTCATCTACTTTTTGTCCGTTTAAATCTTCTGAAGGAGCAAAAGGATTTAGAGTGAAACTAGAAATGGAACCTTTACTTTGGCTATCACTCAAATCCATTTGAAGATCATCTTGATTCTGTTCATTTGGCGTTAAATTGTCTTTGGCATCCGGTGTCTGATTTATGGGCGAAAACACTTTGTTACCTTCAACAGTTTCAGTTGAAGGTGTGTTCATGTCTGACTGAGGAGGTATTTCAGTTTCCATCAAATCAGAAAGCAAATCTTTTACTGGTTCTTGCTTGGGAGTATTATATAAATTTAAGATATCATCTTTCGTAACTTCTTTTTTCCTTGGAGGTTCTTCAACGCCAAACATATCAATGTCTTCTATGTTTTGAACAACAGGTTCTTCTTTCTTTTGGATTAGTGGAGCAGGTAATGGAGGTTTTGGCGGTCTTACTGGTGGACATGGGCGTGGAGGAGGAGGCTTGACTGGATTTTGAACTGGTGGTTCGTTATGTATAAGAGGTTTATTTTGAATTAGCGGTTCATTTTGGATAAATGGTTGATTCTGAATAAAGTGCTCTTGACCAAAGCCTACAGCAGGATTTTGATTTATGTCACAGGTATTATCATCGTTCAAAGAAAACAGATCCGTCGTGTGAGATTGTGTATTATCCTGAGGAGGTTGAACATTTTCTGGAGGTTTGTCGTTTACGTCCAAAAGATCTCTTACAGTGGGCTCTGGAGTTGGACTGGGGGAATGTAAATCCCTCATATTTACAGGACTGGGTGATCTAGTAGGTGGGATTTTACCCAGTAAAGAGGAACTGGTAGCATCCATTGCACCCATCACGGACATAAGCAAATCCTGGGTTTCTTTAGATGGTGGTGGTCGAGGAGGTGGTGGCCTAGGTGGGCCATTAGCATTAGCTTGTAGCGAATACTTTAAATCCAAGTCTGAAGGCTTTTTGGGCGTTTCAGGTGGTGCTGTTACTACAGATTCCGTAATAACCGATTCTGCTGCAGAAAACGGTGTCGTATTTGAAAATTGTTGCACAACTGGAATCTCAGCTTCAGCCGGTTTCCAACTCCATAGGATCAAAGCTAAATGGATTAGTAGTGGAGATAGTGGTAGCCGTTTGAGACAAAAATGGGTTATCATTTGCGAATCCCATGCTGTCGCTACCTTGATCGTCCAATAAAAACGGATTGGATCCTGAGCTTGGAGACACGTAAGGCTCCTCGTTAAAGAGGAACGGGTTAGCAGCCATTGTGAATGAATTCTGATTCTAGCACTTTCAATTCAGCTCGTCCAGGTTGTATATCCAAAGCACAACTAGTGTCGAAGGGATCGTAGGTTTCGTCAAATGTATCGAATACTACAGTTGAAGAGACTTGTGCAGAAGGAGAAAGAGGCTTTTCTATTACTTCGTCGGCATCGTGAATCAATAAGTCTTTATTTACGATGGTACTAGAACTAGTAACTGACGGTATCAATTCACTTTCTAAAAGCTTTAGTTCAACTCTTCCTGGTAGGATATTTGACGCAATAGATGTATCAAAAGGATCACAATAAGATAGTTCTTCTGTCTGTTCTATTGATGCACCAGGTGTTAAAACTTTTACTGGTATATCATTGTCGATTGCCAGGAGATCTATATCGATAGATTCAGAGGTACTTGGTGGTTTCGGTTTGGAGATTTCCTTTATAGTGTTTACAACTTTGTCGACTTTTGACTGCGCTTCGTCTCTTGGATTAAAATTATTATCATTTATACTCAATTTCTTTTCTAAATTTGGATCAAATAACTCGTTTTCGATTAATCGCAGCTCGATTTTTCCTGGTGTCACGTTAGACGCAAAAGAAGTATCAAAAGGATCTTCAGAAATTGGCACTTCAGGTATCGATACTTTTCGTGTATAAAACGGTGTCAAAGGTTTTATTATTTTTGACTCTGTATTAAGAGTATTAAGATCTGGTGACGGCAGATCAAAAGATACAGTCTTTGATCCTGTTATATTCAGCACATCTGGTCGGGAGACGGTTCTCGATCGCGGTTGTTCCTCAGCTCTTGGATCAAACTCATCGTCACTCTCATTATCTAGTACTTTTATCTCTGTTACAGGTTTAAATGCGGTTTTTGATATTGAAACGCTATTGGCGAGATCGCTGTGGCTTCCTCCAAGTAGATCACGGTCCTCTGGTTTGATTAAGTTTAAACCACTTTCTGAAAAACAAAGAAAAGTTAAAATTTATTTAATAATTACTATGTGTTTTGATTTAATATATCAGTGACAAAATAAATCAATAAAAAGTTCAGCGATTTTTCAAAAGTGGCTTATTTGTTGTTGAATTTACCTGGAACTCGCGAATTAGAATCTGCAAAGTGTTTTCCATTTGTGGAGCTAGTTTTTAAAGTAACACCAGTGATAACCTCTGGTACAACTCTCTCAGCAAAAGTTGTGTCAAAAGGATCGTCTGCAAGAACTTCTTCGTCTTCTTCTTTGAGCTCGCTAAAATGCATAAACCAATTAAATCTTTGCTAATTTTAAAGATAAAATTAATAGATTAGTAAAGTATTATAATGAGCCGTATAACGTTTGAAAGGTACGAGGTCGAAGACCAAGAGGAAGATCTCCAACACGATGGACAGACCAAATAAGGACTCTGGTGGAAAAATCCCTACATAAAGCAACTAAGATTTTAAACGCTCTGATTGTCTTAACAAAAGAGTAGGTGTTAAATTAGATTTATGATAATATGAATCTTAGAACTTACTCTCCAAATGCTCCCCACTTGATATTTTGAGGAACGACTGATCCGGTATCTACTGGAAAACTCTGATTTGCTACAATTGGCCTGGATAAACTTTCAGCAGCTAATGCTTCAAATTCTAGGTCGTCTTCGTCGTCTAGCTTCGAGATAACATCAAATTCAGAGATAATATCCTTCTTATTGTCGATCTCTTGTTTTTATTGAGTATCTGCAACGTTAACTGTAGCTACAGCCTGAGGAAACGGTATTGGATTGTTCAAATCAATCGGCTCCTCTGGCAATGGAATAGAGTCATCATCTAGTAGAGTTTTTTGAACATCTTGAGGTTCTAGAATGTTTGTTTCAGATTATTTTAGGTAATTATATTTATTTATGTGATTAAAATGACTATCTATTTGTGTCATACTCACCATCAGCAACAACTGCAGATACTGGAATATTTTCGTCGAAGCTTTGTAACAGCAAATCCTTCTCTTTTAGAATCTGCCTCTTGTTTGGTGTTGGTCTTTTGGTGGCACAAGTCGGCAACTGCACACGTCCTGTTAGAACTTCAACAGCAGCTCCAAGCGGAACGAGTTTCTTGCCTTTCCTCTCGAATTCGGGTCCTAGAATTGCTTTCTCAGCTGCTGATGTGTCGAAAGGATCGTCACCGTCGTTTGGAAGAGTTGGTGACTCCGGAATGTATGCTAGTTTAAGTCGGCAGCTTCTAGAGCCTCAATGTATGTCGTGTCGAATATATTATCATCTTCGTCCTCTTCGGATTCTGATTCGGAGACTTCTACGATACCTGAAATAAAAGTACTTTTTAGGAGTCTTGGAATTCTTTTAAAGGTTCTGGTTTCTTACTTTAAGGGTAGGTATTACACAATTATAGACTATGTTATTAAAATTTTATTAGCAATGAGATTTTTTTTATTTTGGAGGTAAATAACCAGTCAATAAATGTGTATATTTAGCAATAAAGTTGATAAACCTTTCTTCATCGTATTTACTTATTAAATTTTAATAGAGATTTTACTTGACAGCAAGACGAAATTCGTGAAGGTGTCAAAATGGGCTGTTGTACCAAACAACAGATATGTTGAAATAATATTGTAGTATCTTGTGTCACTTACCGTGGGGTACAAGCATATTTGGGTATTCTACTGATACCTATATTTTATTATTACATCATATAATATGTTAGTAATTTAAAAAAGTTTGAAAAGACTCAAATTATAGCTCTTACCTAACTGTGACGGAGTGGGTGGCTCTAATTCTCTCTTAGCTTCTTCGGCTTTCTGTTCCTGTGCTAATTTTTCCTCTTCTACTTTTCTTACTTCACTCTCAGTGGGCTTTCTCTGAAAAAACGAAGTACTTTTGATACGATCTAAGTCGCCCTGTGTCTTTTTTAATATATCATCGACACCGGAAGTGAGAGCTAAGAATTTTTTCCACTCTTCGTTTTGTCCTGCAGGTTCTTCGCTAGTACCTTGGTGTTCCTTGCGGTAGTTTTCTAATTCTTCTGGTTTGAATAGTTCCTCTTCCCCTTTTTTAGATTTTTTCCCTTTTTTCTTCTTTTTTAATCCCTTGGTTATTTTGTGCATTATCTACATCTACTGTCATTGAGACACCTGTAAAAGAAAACCAATTTTTAGATTTAGCACTAGTAGACTGCATTTCACACTAGAACTACTGAGGTATTGTAATTTTTTAAATAGACTAGTCTAGACTACAATATCATATTTTGATTGTTATCTTCTATTATTTATGTTCGAGCTTCTAAATTTAAGAATTTTCAACTTACTTATAGTTTCATTTAAAATGCATGATAGTACAGGTTTTATGACAAAAAAATTACAACGTATTAGTGTTCATGTATAATCGCCGTAACATGTATTGTAAAATACTTTAAAGGCGACGACGCTTGATCCCTTCTCTGTTACAACCGACGGGATGCTTGTGCGAAGCATTTTAGTTCGTTTAGTAGAGTGTAGAATGTTGTTGGCTAAAACTTAATTGCTTTGAATACTGATATGGTTTTTCTGGAGTAACTTAGTCAAAAATATTGCTTACAGTCATTCGTAACTAACTTTGATCCATTTTTTAACAGTTTGACTGCGTTACCGGTCTCTTGGGACCGGTGTTCGTTATTATTAAAGTGCGGCGTGTGAAAACTGCAAATTTTTAAAAATTGCGAAAGGCATATTTTCGTTAATATTCGTTTGTTTTAAAATGCTAAAAACAGCATTATACTTGTCTTAAGATTCTAAACATTTCTAAAAGAAAAACATGAACCGGACTTTGGGGGCCGGTAACGCACAGAGATTACAATTTGTTACTCGGGTGCGGGACTGTCCTGCGGGACCGGTGCATATTTATATATGTATGTATGCTTGCGCAGTTAATCTACATTTAGTCAGTGGCGGCTGGTATAGTAAAATTTTGGGTAGGCCAAGCCAGCAAATTACATCGTAAATTATTTTGGCGCCATATTTTGGCGAAGTTGCTGGCAATAGTGGTCGTCCAATAATGGATGCAACTGATAAAGACATTTTAGAAATCATTGAAGAAGTCCCTGGAACAAATATAAGGGTAAAAGCTGCTCAACTAAACGTTCCTCACGTAAGGGTTTGAAGGGGTTTGACGAATCCACTACTTAAACCCTATCACTTAACAACGGTTCAAGAGTTATTGGTTGAAGATTATCCTAAAAGGATTGGATTTTACGATTGATTGTTAATGGAAAACACTCGAAATGTTAATTTTATTAGAAATATTTTGTTTACCGACGAGGCTACTTTCAGTAGAAATGGAATAACAAACCATCATAACGAGCAATTTGGGCCGACGAAAATCCTGAAGCCAAAAAACTACTTATCATCAAAGGCCTGTCAAAGTTAATATTTGGGCAGAAATTGTGGATAACAATCTAATAGGCCCAGTATTTCTTCCCAACAATTTAAATGGTGATAATTCTTTGCAGTTCTTGGCAAACGATTTACAAGAGTATTTGAAAGAAGTGAATACTGCAATAAGGCAAAATATGTGGTTTCTACAAGATGGCGCTCCATCGCATTACAGTAATGAAATCCGGGAATACCTTTGCAGGCAGTATCCTGGTCGGTGGATTGGAAGGGGTCGTGACGCACCTATTTCTTGGCCACCCAGAAGTCCAGATCTTAACCCCATGGACTTTTGCTTTTGGGGGTTTATGAAATATTCTGTAATAATATTTGACGAACAATATTCAGCGCATTCGGTTTTCCTTATTAAGGAAAGGGCCGTAGCTCAATAAAAACTGTTTTTTGAAAAAAGTGATGAGGCAAAAAAAAATTAAAAATAATGTGTTAAACTAATGATGCTACAAATTTATTTATTTATTTATTTAATTAACGGATATACCATTTTTACAGAAATATGACGTCAATCTTTACAAAGCTTATACATAGGTTGCGTTAATAAAAAACAAACCAAAATTAAAATCAACAAAATTCAATTAAAGTAGTAGCTTAAGTTATTAAATAATGCTCAAAATCTGTCAAATGATTTCTTAAATGTTGCTATAGATATTCCAAATAACTCTAAACTTTTTTTTTTTTTTTCGTCTTTATAGAGGGGAGGTCTGGAATCTTCAAAAGACATCTCAGTCCAGGACGCCGCCTGACTGACCTTAGTGCAGGATTCGTTCTTCGTACTCCCGGCGATAGTTCTTGAGGTACTTTAAAATGCCCTCTCGTCGCCGAGTCTACGCTGAACGCCTACCTGCTAAACCAGACCCTCCTCTGTCATCCAGCGATCCGGAAGCGGAATGGCCGCTGTAAGGCCGGCATCACTTCCGAAGCACTACCTTTATTCATTCATTCTCCATTCATACACATCCACACTCCTAGTTCGGCATCCTTCTCAGAAGGGCATTTCCTCCTTCCCCACAGTCAAACTCACGCATTCTAACTCAAAAAGTGTGACCCATTGTTTTAACTTCACCTTTCAGCATCATTCACTCTACTTTTGCCGTTGGTCCAGCTGTCTTTCTTCCTCTTCCTTTTTTTTATCACTGCACGGATATAACTGTGTATGTTTACCACTGTAACAAAATTCACACCTGTCTCTCTCTCTCCATTCTGTTCCTTTCCACTATCCATCTGCTGCAATCTAACATCGTATGTGTCACAGTGTCCGAGTGTCCACAATATAGGCATTCATCTGTATCAGCCTTACCGATCCTATAAAGGTAGGCCCTAAAACACCCGTGTCCTGTGAGCACCTGCGTCAGGAAATAATCCAATCGCCTGTGGTCACAGTCCACCCAAACTCTTATGTTAGGGATCAGCATTTTCGTCCACTGTGCCACATCCTCCGTATTGTTCCATTCTTCTTGCCATCTTTCAACTGACCTTTCCCTTACCTGTCTTCTCTCAGCCACAGTAAGGTTTGGGCCTCTTCTCTCATACAGCTCTTTTCTTTCCACCGCCAAAACATGCAACGGAACACATCCAGTGATAGTCCATAAGGCTGCAGCAGACACAGTCCTGTAGGCGCATGCCACCCGCAACAAACTTGTTTTGTCTACTCGTTTCATAAGACTCCTATAGGCCGTTATCTCTAATCTCGTTATCTCTATCTTGAACATAATCATTTATAATTTAAAAAGGAAACATAAATCCGCTTGACATCTTCTATCATGCAGTGATGAGATATTTAGTATTGACAGTATATCATCATATGTGTATTGATGTCTAATAAAACCAATTTTGTAAGCACATACTCTCAAGAAATTATTTTGAACACTCTCGATACTGTAGATGTCACTGTTATATGAAGGAGACCAAATGAGACAACCATACTCCAAAACTAATCGAACTAAACTACAGTACAACATTTTTAAAGTTTGTACTGAAAACTGATTACAGTTTTAAGAATAAATCCCAACATTTTTGAAGCTTTAGCTGTAGTTTCGTTAATGTGATATTTAAAAGTTAGTTTAAAATCAAAATTTATATCTAAATCTTTAATATTATGACGTGCCTCTAAAGGTACATTATTTGTACAATAATCATAATTTACAAACTCTCTTGTTCTTCCAAAAGTAATTTTAAAACATTTTTGTATATTTAAGTATAGCATGTTTACCTCACACCAACTAGCTAAGCTTTTAATGTCATTCTGTAACAACTAGGTCATTAACTATTCGAAATATTTTAAGGTCATCATCAAACATTAGAAATTTAGTATTTTTAATCACTGAGGATATATCATTAACAAATATATTAAATAAGAGTGGTCCAATATGAGACCCCTGAGGAACTCCTGAGGTTACGGATATTCGTTGAGATAAAAAATTTCCATATTTAACATACTGACATCTACCAGATATATAACTACCTATCCACTCAATTATTTTACCTCCAAATCCATAGCCATTTAATTTAGCAATAAGCAGATCATGATTAACTCTATCGAAGGCTTTTGAGAAGTCTGTGTAGATAGCGTCAACCTGACCCTTCTGTTCCACTGAATTAGCTATAAAGTTCGTATACAATATTAAGTTCGTGCATGTAGACTTACCCTTAGAAAAGCCATGTTGTCCAACATCAATTAAATCTTTACAATTCCATGTCAAAAAGTTATTTACAAGACACTCAAAAAGTTTGGGTAATACAGATTGGTTACAAACCGCTCGATAATTTTCAACATCATTTTTATTACCAGATTTGAAAATTGGTGTTAAATAACTAGTCTTCCAAAAATCAGAAAAGATGGCGGTACTCAATGAGGAATTAATAAGTAGCAGATAGGTTTTACAAGAGCAAAAATGCAATGCTTGAGGACATAAGCTGGCAAACAATCTGGTCCAAGCGATAATTTCCAAGGCATCTGTAAAACATTATGTCAGAGACATAATATTAAAGATGTCAGAGACATATAGTTAAAAATTGGGGTCTGATTAATTTTAGAATTAGAATATGTAGCTGAGAAAAACTTATCAAATAGATTAACTACGTCTTGAGCATTATCACTTGTACTATCACCGTAGAACATATTAGATGGCAGATTATAACTTTTTCGTTTATTATTGATATACTTCCAAAAATGTCGAGGATTAGATAGAATCCCATTCTCAATATTATTCAAATAGTTACTATAACATTAACAGACTTTTTTACATTAATTTCTTAACTGAGAAAATCTTAAATAATCATCACTTCTACCAAAAATTTATACTGCTTATGTATTTTCTTTTTTAAATATATCAACTTCCTTTTTTTTTTGTGTGTGTGTTTTGGCTTGGACAATTGTCATTCAGCCAGTCTCAATCAAGATAAGTTTATTAATGTAGTGTGTGTGTGTGTGTGTGTGTGTGTTTTTGTTTGTGTAGATTAATTGTCTTGATACTTAGCAAAGTCGACGTCATTGTCTTTGCTAAGAGACGCCAATTGTATCCGAACGTCTGCGGTCCCTCCGGTGTGTACCCATCACACAAGGATAGAAATTATTTTCATTTATTAATTTTTTTAATAAACGAAAATTTCCACCCAGGTGGGATTCGAACTCACGATCTTTAGGTTTAAAGGCAGGCGCTCTTACCACTGCGCCACAGAGGGGGTTATATCAACTTTCTTAATTTACCATTAAACCAAATCGAAAATGAACTTGTTTTAAATTTTTTGATATGAAACAAAGAAGTCAAAACCTATAAACATAAAATCACAAAATACTGCTAAGCTGTAATTCACATCAACTGATAAAAGTAAGTCCCAATTTAAATTTGCAAAGTAATCATTTAGTCCAATGCAATTTGCATTTTTAAAATCATAGTAAAATTCCTTGTAGTTCAGTGATCATGCTTTTCAAAACCAGTTAAATCTACAATTATAGGTGAATGGTGGATACTATTATCAAATAGCGAATCTGGAATAACTACATCAACATTATTTAAATTAGTAAATACTAAATCTAGAAAGACGTTACGACTATTAGGTAAATTGTTTATTTGAAACATATTAAAATAACCAAAGAAATAGCCAGATACACAGCAGGACAGTGTTCAGGGCATTCAACATTTAACCCAAAGTTTGTCATTACTCCAGGAAGCATTTGGCAAATTATAATCACCACACAGTAACAAGTTTTCACACTTCTCCATCACATATTCAACTGAACTGCAGTGCAACATGTATACATTTAGGTCGGATGCAGGAGGGATATAAACTACACCCAAAACTATGCATTATTATTAACTTTCAGTGATACAAAAATTTGTTCTACTTCACAATCGGGGATTATCACTTTCTGCGCACTTATGTCATTTTTAACAGCAATCAGCACACCTCCACCCCTAGTTTTTTCCTGTGTAAGCAATATTACGATCATTTCTAAACACGTTGTAACCAATAAGTCCTAATTCTGCATCGCCATATTCACAAGTTAACGAAGTTTCCACCAAAATGATTATATGATAATTACATTGAGCTGTGGCAATTTCCAGAGACTTTAGTTTTGTTCTTAATCCACCAACATTTTGATAATAAATTGATAACGGAGGTGCGCTTATATGTTTCGTTGTGTCTAGTTTTTTTTGTGTGGAATTATCATTTTTGCAAATTTCAGGTATACCTTTAATATATCGTATAAATAAATCTTTCTCACCTTGTTCTTGGCGTTTTTTAAGGTCCTCTTTGACTTAATTGATTTTGTTGAGTTGTTGGGGGGGTTAAATCAGAATTCAGAAGGTTAAATTCAGAAATTCGTTTGATTTGAACGTACTCAAAAGTTTGATGCGATTTAGGGCTGCATATCCCCCTTAAAATTTTTCCGTGAACTTAGATTTTTGTTGTTTCTTTTTTATGAAAATCGCTTTCAGAACAAGAAAGTAAACGTGTCCATTTTCATTACAAAATGTCAAGTAGTTTAGAAGATAATGCAAAAAAACAATTTTTATTTCGTAACTTCAAAGGGCTGTAACTTTTTTGTGTACACTTTTGTACTAAGGTAAGTTGGATTCAATCAATTTATTTTTGTCCCCAGAATGCGTGATTTAATGTATTACATACTTTTTTAAAACACCATGTACATGTAAAACTTACAAAGGAATTGATATTTTATTTCTCGTAATCCCTACAGCCTCGACATTTATGACATGACTCCATTATCTTTATCAAATAAATTATAAGGCACTCAGTATTTAGACTACTACAAAATTAAGGTCTACATCCAATTGCTATTGTAAATAATAACCTCCTGTTTTAATATAAATGCCAAATTTCATATTTAAGGACATTACTTTCTGATAAAAAACCTACTTAATAGTAAAATCTCATCGCTTATCATGCCTACAACATTCTACAATCTACATCCTCGTTTTCGCGTACATATCTTTCCGATCTTCGCTATCGCAAACATCTATTTTTACACCTAAACGATCTACGACATTCTGCTTACCTCAACAAAAGCCACACAATATTAATAGACAACTTTACAGAAATATATTATGTACAGCCACCCACGATTTTCCCCATTATCGAGCCCACGACACTTGCACTCACAACATCTTTGAAATGAACCTGTTTGGCGAACCCTCCACCGCGACGGCGTTGAACTAGACGTCCCGGCGCCGAAAGACCCCGAAATTGTATTGATTTTCATGATAACAGCCGGATAATATGGCCGAAGAAATATTTAGATTTGGGAATATTCTGCGATAGGATATCGACACGGCGTGCAATGACAAAATATCGTAAATGGATTGATTTTAAATAAACAGTAGAATAAATGTTATATAAAACGTATTTCCTGTATTAAAAATAATTAATTTTACTAGAGGATGACATAATTTTGCAATAATATTAGTTCTTGTATTTATAGACTGAATATATCATTAAAAAATGACTATTAAACAATTATTTTTACGATGATTCTCAATTAAACAAACTTTTATTCCAGCGTCAGAATTTCTTGACTTTTTTGAAAAAAATACACTTCTATTAGTACTTTTTCTATGATCTATAAGTTGTTTATAAATAAAATTGTTATCAATACAATGATATTTACTTTTAACAAAAGCTAGTGTGCTATCTGCACAAATATTTTTCAGGAAATTACGAAAAAAACTTCAGTAAGGCAATCATCTTGAAATATATGTATCATACATTGAAAATGTACTTACTTTAAAGGTCCCATACCCGTTTTAGATACTCAAACACTGGCACTGCAGATTTATATAATTTTTTATTAGATTCTTTACGAAAAAATCGCTCACGTCTAGTTATAAGGGCCTTGTCGGGTACGAACGTCCACAATATCGATTGTGCGCAATACAACTCGTCCTAATTTTTTAACTTGAGATTTACTTTGACTGGATAAATTTCCATTGTGATTACTTTTAAAGTTCAAAGATATTTGTATCACACTATGTGAAAAAAAACGTTTGTTCTAAAAGAGCGAAACACTAATTGTGAAATAAACATTTTATTATTTTTATCGATACTTTCCAGTTGGATTGCTAGGACAGTAGTTTTTATATATAGGGATAACTTCTTCTTCTTAGACTGCTGTTTCCCTACAGAAGTTTGCAATTATAATAGCTACTTTCATTGTTGAACATGCGGCTTCAAAAAAACAAATCCAGAAAGAATCATAGCAAAAATCAAAGCGAAACACAAATTAATCATCACTATCATCATTCTGGCTTTACAACTCGACGTGGATCTTCACCTTCTCAAGAATTTCTACCGTCATCCCTATCTATCGCCTTTCTTCGCCAAGCACGTATTTCCATATTTCTCATATCTTCATCGATGTTATCAAAGAACCTTGTTGTGTGTCTTCCTCTTCTTCTCTGAGCAATGGGTCTAGGTGTCTCTCAAAATAGGATCTGTTGGCCGTACAGATTCTGCGGTTTATCTCTGCTGCAGTATTTTTTTAATGTTAAGGAGCACTCCCAGGTATACAAATTCATTCACTGCTTTAGACGTCATTTTCTATAACAAGTGGTCGTAGGATTTGTAGTTACGTGCTTATTTTCATATACTTCGTTTTGTTGGTGTGTATTATTAAACCCATTTTTGTAGCTGATTCTTTTAATTCTACATACGCCTCTCGTACAGCGTTTTCCGTTCTCTAAACAATATTGTTATTATCAGCATAGGCCAGGATTTGCACTTATTTATTATATATTGAACCAATGGTTGTGATTTGTGATATACGTATTACTTTTTCCAGAGTCAGATTGAAAAGTATACAGGAGAGAGGGTCTTCTTGCCTCAGCGCGTTATCTGTTTTACAAGGTTCAAAAAGTTCTCCTTGAATTCGTACTCTACATTCAACTTTAAAATTTATGAACTGATTTGATATTCCAAGCTCTTTCATTGCTTTGAACATTTCTCTTCTATTCGCAGAGTCGTAGGCTGCTTTGTAATCTATAATTTCCATATTCTAGTGTTTTTTCTTAAATTTGTTTAATTTGATGAATTGTCGATTGACCACCTCTGAAACCAGACTCGAGAGAACCTGTAACTCCTAGAGAGCGCGTCCCCAGGTGGCGGATAGGGCAATGCTCGGCCCGGTTTACCTGAGGGTAGAAGGAAAATAAAATACCTAGCGTGGAACAACAGGTAATTCACCGAATGATTGCCGGTATAAGCAATCCCCTGCTTACCGACCAACGGCTTCGGGCGAATGAGTCGGTTGGTAGTAGGACACTCTTTTGTTATGGAGCTGAGAAATCGACTCCAAGGGCGGAAGAACCAATAAATTGGTCAACGGCAGAAGAATGCAGAAGGCAACGGAAAACCACTGCATTAAAGACTCACGGAGTATCCCTAAAGATCGTCATGGCTTATAGAAATGACAATCAACAACCTACTTATCATGGTTCTCGGATGCCAAAATTCGGCAGGAGAAGAAACAACAGTAACAACAGGGCTTCCCAGGCTGTTAGCCAGCGAAATCTCTGTTCACTAAATATATAAAAATCCATCTGCAAAATCTCTACGTGGAATGTAAGAAGTATGTATGAACCTGGGAAACTGAGGAATATACAGCAAGAGATGATGCGACTGGAGATCGAGATATTAGGAATAAGCGATACAAGATGAGTCAGCTCTGGCGAAATCAATACAGACAATGGACGAACGTATCACTCTGGAAGTAACAAGATCAGTAACAGGCTTCGTTCCGATGTCCGAAAGAATTATAATGCTGCAGCTATTGACAACCCATGGAAAAATGAACTTAATTCAGATTTATGCACCAACTGCTAACAAAAATGAAGAAGAAATAGAAAACTTTTATAGCGAACTTCAAAAAACATTACATCTCACAGCATCTAGGGATATAACAGTGATCGTGGGTGATTTCAATGCAAAAATTGGCGAAGGAAAATGCTACTCTAATGTAGGACCATATGGGCTTAGTGAATGAAACGACAGAGGAGATCGCCTAATTGAATTTTGCCAGGAGCATAATGTTATAGCCGGAAATACATTTTTTTAATTACCTAAGCGATGCCTTTATACATGGAAATCGCCAGCTGACAAAGACAACAAAATAGTCAGAAATCAAATAGACTACATCCTAATAAAACGCAGTTATCGAAACTCAATTCAGGCAGTAAATGTATATCCACTAGCAGACGTATCCTCTGATTACAGTCTTCTTATTGCTAGGTTTCAACTTCAACTAAAAAAAAGCCGCAATAACAATAAACGTAACATACAGAAACTAAAGTCAGAAGAAGCAAAAGAACATCTGAAACACGAAATCAACACAAATCTAGAAATAATTGCAACGTAGAGCAGCAGTGGCAATTCTTCAAAACCTCTATATTGGAACCAAGTATGAAAGTACTTACAACAACCAAATGTGAGACAAAAGAGTGAATGACCGAGGAAATTCTAGAGTTGATGAATGAAAGGAGAAAAGACGAAACCATCAATACGATCCTCTATAAACAGCTTCAAAATCAAATAAGAAGAAAAATTAGGGAGGCTAAAAAAACCTACTTCTCTGAAAAATGTAAAGAAATAAAAGAGCTGCAAAACATATATGACCACTTTAATCTACATAAAAAAGTCACTAGCTGGAGTAAAAAATAGAAGAACCTCAAATATATTGCTCGACAAAAATGGAAATATTTTGAAAATTGTCCATTTTGTAGGTCAACCGGTTGTTAATAATTCTCATAAATAGTTTGTATACTTAACTAAACAACGATATAGGTCTATAATTCTGTAGATTACATTTGTCCCCTTTTTGTGTAAGAGTATTACTAGACTCTCGTTCCAGTCTTTAGGAATTTGTATCTTCTCAGCTTCATGCTCTCAGCTTTTGTATATTCCATTTTTTGTATCCATTTTATTTTCTTTACTGGTGTTTAAAATTCTAGCCCTCAATGTTAAGATCACTAGGCAATGATCTGAGTCTATGTTGGCGCCTCTATAACTTCTGCAGTTTATTACGTCTGTTCCACACCTTGAATATATTAAGATGTGATTAATCTGACTCGTTCTTCCATCAGGAAAGGTCAAAGTTACCTTGTTTATGTTCTTAATATAGATGCTAGAGACTGTCATATTGAGTGCTGCTGCTAAGTTTATCAACCGTAATTTATTATCGCTACTGATGTTGTGTAGGCTATGCCTACCTATTATGGGCGTGAAAACTCGCTCTCGTCATATTCTTGCATTCATGTCACTTAATACAATCTTAATGTCATTTCTAGGACATCTCCTATAGGCGTGCTCTAGATCTTCGAGGAACTATTCTTTTATTTGCTCTGGTTTATCATCAGTTGGGGCATGTGCATTGATCAAACTGTAATTAAAGTGCTTTAACTTTCAAGTGCTTCTTTTTATGATGCCCTATTCAATTAGTGAATGTTGGCGATAATTCTGGCATACTCCTCTCGATCTTGTGTGTCTCTAAAGAGTGCATGGTCATCGAGGTTTGTTCAATTCCTTATGTTTTTAAGCCATGAGTATTTATTTCTTCCGATGCCCCGTTTTCGTTCTATCTTCCCTTCCATAATAAGCTTTAAGAACTGTTACTTGGAATTTCGAAATATATGACCCAGATAAGCAGTTTTTCTTCTTTTTATTATTGGCAGCAATTCTCGTTCTCCGCCCATTCGATTTAATACTTTGACATTTGTTGTGTAATCTGTCCAGGGAATTTTAAGTAGTCTTCTAAATATCTACATTTCAAAGGCCTCTAATCGGTTCATCACATTGGCCTTTATGGTCCAGGTTTCTACACTATATAGCAGTATGAGTAAATGTAACATTTTACAAAGCGTTAAGTTAAGGCTGCTGTTGATTAGCAAGGTTCTCATATTAGTAAAGGCTGTTCTGGCTTGCTCAATCCTGCTACGGATTTCTATGTTTGGATCTAGATCTTCAGTTATCCAACTATCGAGATATCTGAACTTGGGGACCTTTTGGATGTTCTTATCGTTTACTCTTATATTTAATTGCATATTTCGTGTTCTACTAACCACCATTACTTTCGTCTTGTCTATATTAATCTTCAAGACCCGTCGTTCTCCTTCAGTGTTTATTCTATCTATTAGTCGTTGTAGTGCTTCTTGGCTATCAGCTATTATGATTGTATCATCAGCATAGCGAAGATTGCTAATAGTGTGTCCGTTGATTTTGATTCCATCTTCAGTGTCACTTAAGGCTCTATCGAAAATCGTTTCAGAGTAAAGATTAAAAAGAAGGTGTGACAGAACACAATCCTGTCGTACACCTGTTTCGATTGAGAAATATGAAGTAGATTCCAGTCCTACTCTCACAGATGACACTTGATTCATATAAAGGTTCTTTATGATTGTAAGGTCATTCTCATCTATCGAACGTTCCTGGAGCAATCTTACTAATTCTGAATTATTAACACAAGCGAACGCTTTCTGGTAATCTATAAAGCATAGGAAGACATCTTTTTGCTGCACATTTCAAGTGCAAATATCACATTCTTTCACTGTGGGCTTTAGTCAATAATAAGGTCTTTTGTTCTTCGGTTTACAATAAATCCCACCCCATCTAAGTATTAGCTTTCATTGCAGCTATAATATATGAAATGGGTTCTTTTGTCAATAGTGCCAGTTCGCGTCCACCGCATTTCCTGTAGTGCTAAAACATCTATTTTGTAAGTGTTCACTATGTCTAGTAAAGATGTGAGTGCTCCAGTTCAGTACAGGGTTCGGAGATTCCATATTTATAATCCCAATTCCGTTTTTCGTTTGCAGAGTCGTCGTCGTGAGTTCCGTTCAGCTAATAGTTCCTGAGGTTCCGTAACATATGTTTTTTTAAAGGAAGAAGTTGTCTCTAGTCCAACCCCCAACCTTAAGGTCTAGGGACTCCTCTGTTAGGGTTGTCATACCTTAGTCTGTTTGGTTCGCGGTTGGTATTTTTATTTCCCAACTACCCACCCGGCGGTATCCACCACCTGGGGAAGCGTCCGATGGAAGATCGTCGACTCCCCACGGAGAAGCAAAGGGAGCAAAGGGATAAATACTTAATAATTCTTAAAATAAAGCTATATTTGAACACAATTTAACAGAAACTTTATAATTACAAGGTTTTTTATTTTATTATATTTTTCTTCTTTTAGTCTATAAGCAATTATACTTGTAATGGATTTGTGCTCCTATGAAAGGGTTCTTTTTGCATTTTTTGCGCTGTCGAATGATAAGTACTCTTCGATTCTCTTAATAATTAGTCCCTCTACTATATTACGAAACTAATTTATTGTTTACTAATACGATGATTGGTATTTTTTAGTTGTGGAAAAAGCGCTGGAAAAATACTCTCGGTGGAAAATCTATACTAAAGTTGGATCTGTCATCTTCATTTGCAACTCCCTGAAAAATGTTTATTTAACAATATTTTGATTATACAGGGTAATTGAAAGATTGAAGAAAACAAAATTATTAAATCAAAATATTAAACAACAATTCATCATTTTTAATCTAGGTTTTTTGGTCCAAAGTGCCTTATTTGTTCTGTTAGTATATCGTCTAGGTCAACTGCTTTATTAACTTTCATTTGATGGATCGCACCTCTCATCTCCTCCAGACAAAAGGAGCTACCTAGAATATCCTCTTCTTCGTCAATATTTCGTTGTACTCTCATTTTGTTCTTCCTTGATGTCGTCTTTTGTCAGATTGGGTGCCGGGGTGGCAGGATTTTTTCCAAGATTCCGAATTAATTTCCAAGCGTGTCTGCTGTTTCGTTTCATGTCTAGACTCGTGACCAGCTTGCATCACCTGCCCGTTCTGTTGGCGAATATCGCATGTAGCACTTCCTCCCCTGCCTGCATTGTTGCTTCCGAAAAGGGATCGTCTTCATATAGCTGCTCGTATCTTTTAAGTAGGGGTTTAGATTCTTCATTTAGCCCCGCTATATATTCGGTATTCGCTTGAAGATACCCAATTTGGTTTTAGAAATGCTATGAGAACCAGGGAGGCACTTTTTGAGAAAGAAAAGATGTATTTGCATGTTTCGTGGACTTCAAAAAGGCATTTGATAAAGTACATGTAAAATTAATGCAAATACTGAAAAATATCGGAATAGATGACAAGAATATTCGTGTCATTAAAAATGTGTACTGGAATCAAACTGCTATCGTAAAAATTGGAGATAACTACACTGATGAAATCCCCATACAACGAGAAGTCAGACAAGTTTGCATTTTGTCGCCAACATCGTTCAATGTTTACTCGGACCAGTGTTTAAAAAGGCATTTGAGAGACAACCATATGGAATAAAAATCAACAGGGAACTACTTAATGGTTTTAGATATGCAGACGATACAGTAATTCTATCAGATAACATTAAAGGTCTTCAAATTCTGCTTGATCGTATTCACGAGGTAGGAGAGGAAATAGGCATCAAAATAAACTCAAACAAAACCAAATTTTTAGTGTTTAGTCGTAACCCACATCCCCATGAAGAGCTTCAATTGAACGGAGTCCAAGTTGAGAAAGTTCACAAAATGACATATTTGGGAACTGTGATAACGGACCAACTGGATCCAGACATAGAAATAAAACGTAGAATAGCAATGACTAAAACTACTTTTATGAAAATGAAGTCATTTCTTTGCAATAACCATCTCAGTTTAGAACTAAGGCAAAGAATGATTAAGTGCTATCTTTGGTCCGTACTTGTTTATAATGCAGAAGTGTGGACGCTAAAAGTATCGATCATGAACAAAATTGAAGCATTGGAAATGTGGGTTCATAGACGAATGCTGAAGATACCTTGGACAGCAAGAAAAACTAATGAAGAAGTACTAAGGACCGTCAACAAAGACAGAGAACTGCTAATGACTGTTAAACATCGAAAAATGTCTTATCTGGGACATATAGTAAGGGGAAGTCGATATAAAATTTTACAACTGATCCTTAAAGGCAAAATAGAGGGCCATATAGGTGTAGGAAGACAACAAGTTTCTTGGTTAAAAAAACATGCGTAAATGGACTCAGATACCAAATGCAGGACAATTATTCCATATTGCAGAAGATCGAGAAGCCTTCGCAATGGTAATCGTCAACGTCGGATAGTTCTGATATGGCACGCGAAGAAGAAGATGTATTCGGTTCGGCAACCTCCAAGAATATATTTTCGTGATATTTGTTTTACGATTTGTACAAATTTATCGTAGGAATTAGAGCACGGTTCTAGATGTGAAACTTCTTGATGCGATGTGAAACATATAATGCTTCAGCGAATTTTTTACATTTTGCTATAGTAAAATTGAACCTTCTCTTGGAATGAACAATTTCGTATTTGATTGCTACGTTCAAAAAGCAAGTTATTGGTCTGTGCTGTGTTTTTGGAAGGGCGCTTCCAACAATTTTTGTCACCTGGTCTCCAATCCTGTCGCTGACAAATATCTTGTCTGTGTTGTAACCTCTGCGCCATCTTTCGCTGTTGAAAGACGCGCTGTTTTGGAAGTTTGAGGTTGATGTTTGCAGCCCAATTTTCTAGTTCTTCGCCATTGGAGTCTGTTTCATTATACCCCACGCAATACTGTGACAGTTGATTAAATAAAATTAATAAATAAAAAGACATAACTTTACCTCATTGTCGACAGAATTTTGATAATTCTCTCCGTTGTTGTTTCTCATCATTACTGAAAAATTTTCAACTAATTTTTAATCGAATTATATATTTTTTAATTCTGACAGATATAGCTATATTGCTAAATTATGAACGTACCTGCAGGAGTTATAATAAGACCATCCAAAATTTTAATACCGGGCAATCTATGCTGGACAATTTGTCTGAGTCCAAGGCTCAACGTGATTCCAGGGTTTCCCTCGATATATAGTTCTTCGATATTTTCGCAAAATTTAAGGAAATCGATCTCATCTAGAGATATCATATTTCTAAAAGAACATATTTTATAAATAATTTTCTAATTCACAAGAAACACTTAACTAATCAATGACATAAAGAATGTCACAATTGTACCAAAATATGTATTTATATAAGTGACATGTTTTATATTCTTAATGGTTTCTGCTCTTGCTCTTATAAAAAGATTTATAATTTATTTCCGTTAATAATATTACTATAATTTTTAGTATTAAGACAGTTTTACATTATGCTATTTTCATGCTAGGCAAGAGCCATGCGAGACAGATCCTGGAACTGCGCATGCCCACGGGCTATTTCCATGCAATTCCCATGATACTATAAACTACAGATAAACCCACGCGCACGCGATCAGTCGTGTGACGTCACTTGGCGACAAATGTCACCAGAAATGTTCTGTGTTGTATGGAGTTTTGTCAGATTTAGTCAAGGTTAGTAGATATTTAAGTATCTACTTAAATATCAAAAATAGATAAAGGGTCATTAAAATTAACCAAGAATTATTTAAAACCGCTAATGGATTTAGCTGTGTTCAGATGTAATGTTAGTAAAAGTGTAAATTATATTTTAAAATTAGAAAATTGAAAAGATATATTAAAGAAACATCCAAAGTTAAGAAGACGAAAATATTAAAAATTGTAAAATAAATTGTTAAATAAACCTGTAAATTATTAAAGTTAATTTTATTTTATTAGTTGTATTAAATTTTTATTTTAATAAATCAATCCATTGTATATAAATTTCCATTTGCAAAAGGATGTTAGTTCTTACTTTTTTATATAATTTTAGTTTACATTGCTAGGCTAACAGAGATGTATATATAACATATTTTTAAGATTTAATTGCAGATATTTTACCTAACATCCCTTAATATTCTAAATATTTAAATAAAAACCCCTTTCTTTCCATATATGTTTTACCGACTGTGATGATAAAAGTGACTTTTATCACCAAATGACGTCATGCGCGTCGATGTACAAAATTCGATTGCGAAGTGGGTTTATCTTGGAAGTCTTAGTATCATGTGCAATTCCTGTGCTAGTCGAAAAATTAGAACATGTTCTATTTTTCATGCAATTTTCTTGCAATTTATCGTTAAAATTCATGTTGCCAACATAAGAATTTATAATAGATTACAGAATAAAACATAACCTTATCTCTGTCTTTAGCGTCCCTTAGCCCACGTGTGTATTGTTGTGTTTTGATTTAAATTAAGTTTATTAAGTGGTGATAAATAGATATACTATGTCTAAAGTTAATGTAAAAACGACTGGGTGAGTCGTTGACTATGGATGATTGTTGCTACAACAGCAATATTCAACAAAAACAATGTTTTCTTTTCTTTGGTTGACATCCTTCACCCTTTTAATAACCATAAATAGTGTATATTTATTTTAGTACTTAATTATATTTATTTAAAATAAAATAACCTCAAATCGATAAATATTTTTCTCTGTTGGCAACAATGAAAGTGAGATCTAAAATTGCACAGAAATATCTCTGATGTAAAAAAGGTCAAGCTAGGCAAGAGATGTGCCATGCAAGACGTACTTGCATAGCATGAGACTTGCATAGCCTAGATGTAAAGCTGCCTTTACATAAATATAATTTGGCTTTTCTTGTTAAGTATAGCTTGGTACAATTCGCTCCGTGGGTCTCCTCTTTATTTACAGTCACGTGACACGCTGTCAGATTTGTGAGGACGTTTTAGTATTGAGTCTTATGGGATTATTTTGTTAAACTTAAATATTTTATTTTGTAGTGTTAATATCCGGATACAATTTTTAGAATTAATTAGTTATCTATTTATACTGACCTTTATAGTTCAACAAAAATATTTTTTGTCGTTAATAAAGATTTATTAACATAATCTACGAAAGTGAGGTTATATATACATGATCAACCAATGATCAACATCCATGGTACAATGAATATGTTCATTGTACCATGTACAAAAGTGTCCTGAAAAAATTTCAAGCAATCGCCATCATGAGCAGGTCAGTCGATTTTGCTTTGACACTTTGTTAACCCTCGGAGCGAATAGTGTAAGTTGGCTACAGTGTGCTTATAACTTTTGTCAAAGTTAACGACTATAATAATTGTAAGCAAGACAAGATGGTTGTAATATGTTGTTCTAAAGAATAAAGAAATAATCCATTAAGAATATACTTATTTTGTGATTTATAAACTAAATATTGAAAACTACCTTCGCACATCCAAAACTCGAACTTTGTTCAAAAATGCACACGGTGAAAGCGTATTAATTTCGTTATTAGCAATGTAAAGCTCTTCTAAATGTTCAAATCCAAAAACGCCGTCTATGCACGTCAAACCACATCTATTTACCCTTAGAATTTTTAAATTTTTCAAACCAAATCCAAGATCTCTCAATGACGAAACCACACTTCCATCAAGAGTCAGCTCCCTTAGAGCCGGTGTATAGAAACTTAAATATTGAAGTGTTGTTTCACGGGAAATAACTCGCAACTTTAGTTGGGTAACTGTTGTTAGATCTTCTGTGTTAGTCACTTGAACCTAAAATAAAAACTTTATTAAAATCACGGAAACTATCATATATAATCAAGAACATTTATTTTAAATTAAACCAGTACTTACTAACAAATCTCTTAAACTTTGCTCCAATGGAACATGCAGAGATTCTTCTAAACCAACATCCACATTAGTAGTATCAATAAAAGAATCCTCACTACCGTAAATATCCGATAAAGAGGAAATACTATGATCGGAAATTGATCTTAAAATAATCGTAACGTGGTCATTGTTTCTAGGAACTTCCTCGTCTGATAACTGCGAATCCAAATTCGGAGGCATTGTTATATAAACTGAAACGACCACTTCAAATTCGATTTACTTCTGGAAGGTATCTTGGCAACCGGTAAATAAATATTGATTGAGATATTAAGAAACAAACAAAAGTTTTATTGTTTTTCATTTTTTCCAACAATTTTAACACCAAAGCTTCCTTATTTCTTGATATAATTATAAATTTCATTAAACTCCTATAGATTTCTGCTTAGTACTGGCAATATGGTAAACTAATTAAATTTTCCTTGAATTGGATGCGTAGACATGCCCAAAAAGAATAGTGGAAGTAGTTCAGTAAATTGCTAAAAAGTGGCTATACAATTTAGTGGTTTATGTGATTTCATTTATTTTTATACAAACAAATAGATGGTGTTAAACATTAATGTATACCTAAGTCTGTAACACCAAAAAAAAACAAATATTTATTTAAATATTTGATTTTCTTAAAAACCTCAATGTTCCGCCTATGTTACACAAATATCATATTTTGCTAACTTCACGTTAGTGTTGTGCTTGACTTGACGTTTGGAACAGATTTGTTTTGTTTATATTTTTTAATATATTTTAATACCTAAAATTTAAATACAATTCCTTAAAATGTCAGCAAATAATAACAATAAATGTAGAATTTGCTTAAATACTGAAAACGATTCAGATATGAATCCCTGTTTTGATATATATTTAGATAAAATTAGTTTGGCATCAATTTTTACAAATATCACAGCGATAAAGGTAAGCTTTTACATATTATAACGTGTAAATACCAAGTAACAATACATAATTTAACTTTTCAGATAGAAGACTGTGAATATTTCCCTAAGAAATTATGTCAATCATGCACCACAAGTATAATCAACTTTAAAACTTTGGTGACAGTCTTTCATGAGACTAATCTAAGGTTGAGAGAGCAAATATATAAGGTACAAGATTGTAGTGAAATATCTGATGATAATAACAGCGATTTTGATAATTTTGAAATGTATAAGAAAGAAGATGATTGTGAGATATCAGATATTTATAACAGAGATATGAAAGAACATAACATTCATTTGAAAGATTTAAATATGGTAACATATAGAAGTAATGCAACAAATGGTAATAGTGATAAAGTTAATGAACAGTGTTTAAAGTCAGATGGTCAACAAAATGTAACTTCCAACATTAAAGAAGAAATAAAGTCGTCTAGTGTAATTCCACAACAGAAAATCAAACTGCTGACCAGAAAACATGAACTTGTAAGTTCAGAATATAACACAGTAAACTCTTTTAAATATACCTGCCATTGTGGGGACTGTTTTTTATACAAAGCTGGGTTTCGTCAACACATGCAATCCAGACACAATATATTATTAGATGAAACAGAGTTTGATAGTTATTCCAAAGAAATTCAGGTAAAAATCCCAATTGGTTTTCCAGAGTTTGTTGCATCTAAGCTTATAGTGAGGAAAAAGAAAATGCAGTGTCGTATATGTGACACCAGCTTCTTAACTGAAGAAGAAGTCAAAGCGCACGAAGATATTCACAAAACGTACATATGTGACCAATGTGGAGTAGCTTTTTTGTATAAAAACTACCTCGCAGATCATTTACGAATACATTCTGAAGAAAGACGTTACACATGTCGAATTTGCCAGAAGAAATTCAAGCACAGATACACCTACGGCGTACATAAGAGATCCCACGAAATTACAAGGAACTTTGTTTGTGAAACGTGCGGTGCGTCTTTTAAAACGAAAGGAACGCTACGGACTCATATACGTATCAAACATAGTGACGTCAGAAATTACTCGTGTCCCAGCTGTAATCTTTGCTTTAACTTAAAGTCCACGTTGGACAAACATTTTATGCGTAAACATACTCCGGATAGGAAAAAAAGCTTTGTGTGCAATAAGTGTGGTGCCGCGTATTTAAATAAAAATACTTTGACGAGACATGTCGCCGAGAAACATTTAGGAAGGCGAAATTTTTTCCGTGTACTATTTGTGAAAATAAAATGTACGTCGTGAAAAAGGGACTGAAGTCGCACATGTTAAAAAAGCATGGAATTGCCTTTGATCAAAGTATATAAGAAATATCTTAATTTGATTTTTTTATAAAAAAATATAACACTAAAAACAGCTATCTTGTGCTTTTATTAACTTCATATAAAATTAATTTTATCTTTACAGCATAAATTATTATATTTAACAATTATAAATACGCCCTGATGTAGGCAACACAACATATAACGAAATATTAGAGCCAGAGAACTATACTTCATCTAATTTACTTACATTTGCACGTCATAGTTCGTGAGGTCACATGATATTGTTCTGAAGCTAATAATAATAATATTAAATAGTAATTAGGTCACATGATACCAACACGAAATATTTAGGCGGTAGGTGTGTTCCTGGAATTGGTGTAGGTGCTGTGTTAAAAATTATAAATACGCCCACATGTAGGCAACACTTTATACATTACATGTAACATAACTAGTTGGACAATCGCCTGAAGGATGGCGCCACTTACATACAGACCAAGGTATCTTAACTAAAATCACCTAAGGCCAGGTTTCATTTATTATCAACATAGAGAAATAAAAATAAGTTCTTAATAACTTAATTACAGTTATATACTCCCCATTCAAATAAAAACTGTGAAAAAGATGACGGCTCTATTCTTGATAATTTGCAAGACTTTTTGGATAGTTCAATCACCAACCAAGGCTGCCAGGTCTAGGGATTTATCCCGAATCTAGGGATATTTCAGCATAAAAGGGACAAAGGGATTTTTTTGATATTTATTGTAAAATCTAGGGATTTTTGACCGGCTCAAATATTTACCTACATAGGCCTATTATAACAACATTTTCTTTAATTCAGGTATAAAACCACTTCGTATTAACAGTATTAAATAAGCGATCTTTAATTACAAATACTAAACTAATAAAGGATTCTATTATCAGATGTCGCTAACTGTCCACGTTCTTGGAATCTTTATTTTATGCTACCAAATAGATTTCTGCCAAAAATAAAATCCTATATATTTTCATAAAGGAGAAGCAAATTCTGGAGCAGGAATTAGGGGATTTACAAAAATCTTAGGTTTTTAAAAATAAATAATTAGGGGATTTACAGTAGGAATCGGGTGAATCCCAGGATTCGTGGAAATATACAAATAAAATTCTATGCTACACCATCTCGTTTCTCTTCAAGTTGTATTTTGTATTAATTTTATTAAGTGAATAATACTTAATAATATATTAAATGGAATATTCAAAGTTATAAATAAGTACGTTATTCTGTTTTTGTTAAATTTATTCAAATCATCGCTATTATACCGTTTAAAAATGAAATACTTTTGAAATAAAGGTATAAAACAACAATTATTTTTTTAGGTTGAGTTTATCGAAAGCACAAGCTGAATATAGCCGCAAATGTCAAAAATATTTCGGCTTGGCAGTGTTGGCATGTTTTTATAATGCATATATTGTATGCTTCAAATATAAAGAGATAAAACTGTTAAAAAGTATATTTTGATTATACTATTTTATGATATGATATTTATGATTTATATTTGTCTCTTTCGAGATTAAGTGCAAACATATGTTGTAATCTGGCAACTGCTGATTTGAAGAATGCCAAATTTATCCCCTAATCTACCAAAGTCTAATTGCTAAAAAAATTCTAATAATTAACTGCAATTAATCTTCAAAGAAACAAATATTTACACATCATCTACATTATAAAAGCATGTCAACACTGCTATACACCGAAATTTTTTGTTCCATGTTTGACATTTGTGGCTATAATCAGCTTGTACTTTCGGTAAATTCTACCTTTTTTTAATTCCATGTTATTATATTAGGCAACCATCAATACATTCCATCATTTTATTCAGAACTAGGCAACCATATATACATTTATTCCAATCTAGGGATTTCTAGGGACATTTTAATGTTCCAATTTAGGGAGGACAAAAATTTTCACCTGGCAACCCTGTCACCAACAATGATTTTATTGATTTAGACCTTTTAGAGGTAAATTGAAATAGAACATCTAGCTCTACCATTACCACACAGGAATATTAGCATATGTTGCTGGGTATATAACAAAAAAAATTAAAATGATTTCAAAGAATGTGAGCTGTGTGCAGCTAATTTAATATCTGATGTTTTAGAACCACATCATACATTTACAATGTTTAAAGAATATAGTGATAAGAAATCAAGTTTAGCTTATTGTTACAAAAAATTTTATAGTAGATTTAGCCAAAATTGAGGATATTGTAATTGTTGTATTAGTCAATAATGGACATATAAACCATTTGTCCAAAAAAATTAAAATTTTGATTAAAAAAGTATGTAACTTTGGAGTGGTTTACTTGTAACCAACATTTGGATTATGTGTTTAATTATTTCTAGATGTGTCTGTAGACTTAATAATCAGGAAATATTTATGATGATATTTATAGAAGTTATCGAGATTTGCAGAAAAATAATTTACAAAAAAAGAAAATGAATAAAGATGAAGCATTTATAATTTTATTTAGCCTATTTTTCTAAACTCTTCTCCATTTCTTTATTTAAATAAACTATTTTTTTTAAGTTCACAACATTGATTTTCTTTTAATATGCTTTGGTACTTCAGTCAAATAGTTAATGGTAAATTTTATATATATTGTATTCACATTTATATAACTAACTTAGTAATAGTAGTCCCCAGAACAAGGAAAATTGTATATTAAAACATCATTGAGAACTAAGGCGTTCAAAAACGTAGCAACTCCGAAAATTTTCACAGAGGAAAAGTTTGTCAGACACGTTGCAAGGAAATGCATACACAATGAAATTTTAGGTCCCTGTACTGAAGACTATAGTGTAGTCAAAAAAAGATTTTTTATTTGGCAAAATATTTCTCTTATGAACATATATTTAAATTGCAGGTTTGTTCGATTTGTTTATCACCTAAAAGTATTTTACTTATTTATTGTAAGAGTTATTATTTTAGAGGGTATTTATTTTAGCTTTAGTAAAGTTCTCTGTGTATTGTGGAATATTTTTAACGCTACCTACTAATCAAATTTGTAATATCTGCATTTTGTAAAATTTAAGATAAATAAAGAAGAGCGGGGACATGCATGCATTTTGTATTGATCTGTGTTTTATATCTCAAAACTTTATATTTCAAAACAATTGTTCTGTATATGTTTTTTCTATTTTGTTTTATCAGCACTCCATACATGCATGCGGTAAGTGGGGGTTCCTGTGAGGATTAATAAAAAATAAAACATGTGTAGTTTTTTTTTCCCAGTGTTCATGTATCCTATTTTTCTGAAAAATTATGAGGAAAATATCGATGGCTTAGCATCGATAAATCCTTCTATCTCATTTTACAGATAATTTTACAGGAGAGACTTTAAACTGAACTTTCGCATACTCTAACCTAAAAACAAAAAATTAAATTTACATATTTTGATTCTGAACATATATTTAGATCGTTACACATAATTTTCACATATATTTTAGGTAGAGTATGAGGAAATTCAGTTTAAAAGTCTTCCTGTAAAATATATTCTGTAAACGTAAATTCTCTACTGAAATATAATAATTTTAAATATCCCGCGTTCCATTTTCTGGCCGCTTAGTTGAGTAAAGGTCGATTCAGACACATCAGTCACGTCACAGTCACGGTACCGAACCGGTCCTGTTTTGGTCACAGAACTATCAACTATCTGACAGCTGGCAAAACTGTTCGTCAACTGATGAGTGTGAATGCCGGCGCCAATATTTGTATTAAGAATAATTTTGTATGACGGATTGTTCGATTCGGCGCAATGACTGTGACGAGATGGTTGACGAGACGTGACTGATGTGTCTGAATCGACCTTAAAGGTCGATCATACAAAATATTCTTTAATACAAATATGGCGCCGGCATTCACACTCATCAGTTGACGAACAGTTTGCCAGCTGTCAGATAGTTGATAGTTCTGTGACCAAACAGGACCGGTTCGGTACCGTGACTGTGACGTGACTGATGTGTCTGAATGGACCTCAAGGTAGATTCAGACACATCAGTCACGTCTTGTCACAGTCCTGGTGCCGAACCGAACAATCCGTCATATAAAATATTCTTTAATAGAAATATGGCGCCGGCATTCACATTCATCAGTTGACGAACAGTTTGCTAGCTGTCAGATAGATCGACCTTTAAAGGTTGATTCAGACACATCAGTCAGGTCTCGTCACAGTTATTGCGCCGAACCGAACAATCCGTCATACAAAATATTCTTTAATACAAATATGTTGCCGGCATTCACACTCATCAGTTGACAAACAGTTTCCCAGCTGTCAGATAGTTGATAGTTCTGTGACCAAACAGGACCGGTTCGGCGCTGAGACTATGACGGGACTGATGTGTCTGAATCGACCTTTATTCGAAATATTTCATATTATGTTTACGATACTAAAAATAAAAGTAATCAAACCAATAGTCATTATTTATTCAAGAGAAAAAACTGTTACAAATAACTTTCAAATATTGGAAGGTACGCCGCTGACTTTAAAGGAACTTATAAACTTTTCGCCTTCAAATTTAGGTGAACATCAAGAGAATGCAGGGTATGGGTATGCCAAGTCCATCTTTATTTATACGTCCATGGAATAATCTAACTTAAATCGTACCTGCCTCGCTTATAAGGCAAATTTCAAAATTCTGATTTTCCATATTCCTCTTACATTGTTCCATTCGTAAAGTTATTACTATCATTAGTAGTAAGAAATAAGACAATGTTGTAAATATAAGTAAATAATAATACATGCATCGAAAAGCCCTCCTCACAGTTACAATGGTGATCGCCATTCGCCAGAAATATTCACAATTTTCTTAGAATTTATTTGGGCACGTCAACAACTGTCAAGAGTATCAAGACAAATCGATAGAAGTTGGATATATTTAAAAAATATCCCCGCCTATGTGCAGTTACCTATGTACTGCAGTTATGTGCAGTTACCTATAAACTGCAGTTACCTATGTCTGTCTATGGAAACCAATGTCTAATCAACCAAACCACCGGTTAAATTATAATCACTCATAAAATAAAATTGGGCACATTTAACAACTTAATTAAAGTTAAACAAGTAAAACAAGAGTACAATAGCTCAATTTACTTTGAATATCACATTAATAATAGATATTTGAATAATCATGCACAGAATGCAACATTTGATACCAACGATCTACTGTTAAGAGCTAACATTCTGTGTCAACATGCACAGAATGCACTGAAATATTTTATTAGTAGTAGAACTCTAAAGTCGCGCCGCCATTGTCGACATTTGAAAGGAAACCTCTACTTCATCTCCTTGCAGTCTATTGCAAGTGTCTATTCAACCTTGTGGCGGGTTATTAGAAAATAAATTAGACATAAATCTGTAGCAACTTATTAACTTTAGGTATAAAAAGATTTAAAATAATATTTTATAAATAAAATAAATACTTTAAAATTAAAATAGAAGAAATACACTTTAATAAATATAAGAGAAAATAACTTTGAGAGACTATTTTGTTCCATTCTAATTGTGTGCAAGTTCTATTACATGTATGTGTATTACTGGTTGCGTAAGTTTCAAAAATATAAGAAATAAAATACTAAATTAGGAATTATATTGTTAAAAAATATCATTAGTCGTAATAAACGTCGAATATTTGATATAAATAATACAAAAAAGATACACAAATATATAGGAAATCTTTTGTATTTTTCGTAATTTAATTTACATTTTATAAAAGGGGGCCAAAATATTGTTTCTGGTTATTTAAAAAATAATTTTGAATAAAAATTGAACTTCTTCTTCTGGTGCCCTATACAATTAGTGGATGTTGGCGTAAATTCTGGCATACTTCCCTTGATCTTGTGCGGCTCTAAAGAGTGCATGGGCATCGAGGTTTTTCCAATCCCTTATGTTTTTAAGTAATGAGTATTTCTTTCTTTCGATGCCCCGTTTTCCTTCTATTTTCCCTTTCCCTTCCATAATAAGCTTTAAGGACTGGTACTTGGAATTTTGAAATATATAACCCAGATAAGCAGTTTTTCTTCTTTTTATTATTGGCAGCAATCCTCATTCTGGCAATTATCTGTCATCCTCATGTATGGAACGTTCCTGGAGCAATCTTACTAATTCTGAATGATTAACACAATCTAACGCTTTCTGGTAATCTATAAAGCATAGAAAGACATCTTTGTGCTGATCTCTGCATTTCTGAAGTAGGACAGTTAAGCTATAAAGTGCTTCTCTTGTGCAAAATCCTTGTCTGAAACCAAACTGTGTGGCCTAATGTCTCTTTCACATCTGTTGTATATTCTTGTGTGAATTATCTTTAAGAAGCATTTTTGGACCTGGCTCAATAAGCTGAATATTCGGAATTGGTCTCAACTATAAGCGTTTGGCTTTTTTGGAATTGGTATAAAGGTTGATTGAAGCCAATCCTGTGGTATTTGACCAGACCTATAAATGTCATTAAAAAGATCTACCAAGGCATCTATATTGTCTTCACTCAACATTGTTAGAACTTCTATGTACATACCGTCTGGGCCTGGTGCTTTTCCCCATTTGCTCTGTTTGATTGCCCTTACAACTTCTGACTTCAATATTTTGGAGGAGGATTCGCTTTTATAAATATTTAACTAGGCTGCTGTTATAATCGAAAACACGGGTAATAATAAAGGCATGAGTATAACGGGTTGCATGAAATTGAATTAAGAAGTAAAAAATACTGAAATTTTTAAATTATCAAATATACATTACATCCAAATATGCTTTATTATTGCAACAGAAGAAAAGATAATAATATTACCAATAAAAGTATAAAATCGGCATCGAAAAGAATCAATGGCATACAAAAATAAGTCTTTCTCCCAAAGTATTCAGTTCTTTACAGTTTTTCCAAAAAATCTTTCTAAAATGCTCAGTATTTGTAGATTTTGGAACACACTTTCATGACGACATCAATAATAAATAATTTGTCATAAATAAAGACCTGATCTAACCATATTTAAAAGATATTTACAATAAAATGTCACATAGGAGTGTTACAAGACAGGTTAGCACATATATTTACAAAACAAGAGTTCAAATAAATGGTAATTTGGGAGAAGTAAGAAAACTAAAGCTCTTTTTTGAATAAAACTTTGCTAATAAATCAAATAAAGACCATACAATTGTAACTGTTTACAAAATGAATCATTTTACATAATTTAAATCAATATTACTTCATTCCTGTATCTGCTGTGTAGCTCCTAATCTGGATGGATCCTGACTGGGATAGTGCACCGGTTTCGGCACCACTACAGGCTCACTAACGCTGGAGCTAGTACTAGTACTTGGTGCGGGTGCACTAAAAGGTGGCAACTGTGGGGGATTGAAGAAAAATGGAGGTATAGGAGGGGGAGCAAACAGTGGGGGTACCATGATAGACGAAGGAGGAGGCATATTAGGTAAAGGAATATGTCCTGGTTCCAGATTAAAGAAGTTATTGCTGAGTTCCGGCAAAGCTCCAGGTAATCCTGGTACAGGTTCATAATTTTCTGCATGGTGTGCAATCGAAGAAGCTCCGGTGCGACCCTGTGATCGTCCCCATTTGATGGTGATCCTTCTTCCACCGAGAATCAGTTTATTGAAGGTTTTTTCAGCTGCTGTTTCTGCTGCAGACCTGGTGGTGAACTGTACAAAGGCACACTGCTGCTTTGGCACTAGACTAATGGAACGAACTTCACCATATTGGTAAAAATGATCTCTGTAACAAAACATTAAAGGAAAACAAATTAATATTGATATAAAATATTTTTGCAGTCATTGTTATTAAAAGTGTAACTCTACAACACATTTACCTGATATCCTGTTCTGTTAAATGTCCCAGATTTCCTAGATACAGGGTTGTTATGGTTTTGTCATCTGGTAAAGGAAGGGCTGGCATTGCAGCAGCTCGTTTCAATAGTTTTTCAGCTACTGGATCATTCACTCCATAATAACGGTCTTTGATGTTCTACAAAAATGTTAAATAGAAAGAATGAAACAGTTTCTTTAGTATTGTTAGTTTCTTTTAGTATCTTAGTTAAGTATTAATTGATTAATATACACTAAAAACTATATATTCTCCACATATGTAAGCAATCTGTATTTTTAATGCTTAAAATGGAGGAAAGTAACTAAAATTTGCATTTAAGTATACTTACTTGATCAGCTAATGGATCATCGGGATCTGTGGGCTTTTCATGCCTATAGGGACACTCTTCTCCCCTTCTGCACTCACCTTTTACCCAGAAAGAACACACATGTGGCCTATTTCTCTTATAATATGGAGCTGTTCTAGCCAATCTCATTAGAAGATCATTTGGTTCACTCAGTTTACTACTAATTGAGTCTGGATCTGATCTTGCCAACTAAATAGATAAAACAAACATAATAATGATATAAAGAAAACTAACAAATTATCTACAAACCTCATTCTCCATGTTTTGAATATAGTATTCTTTATTAACATCACTCTTAGGCAAGTCATCCTTCAATTTAACTGCAGCATCTCTCACTTGAATAGGTAGACCATACTCTAAATCTAATAAACAAGTCTGGCACACATTTTTGAGTTTACTACATGTCTGACATACTTCTGTTTTCTTAAATCGCATTCTCGCACCTGGACACCAACGAAATACTGTGAATGGACGCGAGCAAATCTTGCATTCCTTTCCAAATTTTTCTTTTGTCTAAAATATACATCCATAGGTATTTCTGATATTTATTTACTTAAGCAATTCTCTAGCATTTACAAGTTTAACACTAGAATATTATTTGACCTAAAATTTATTAATTCCACAATAATATTTAATTTATGACATAGTTTGAGGTGAAAATTGTGTGCTTTTCACAACAAGAGCAAGGTCTACTTTTACTTTCACCTAAAATGAAATACAAACTTACCATTCTAATATATGGGTTATCACCTAAACAAGTTTGGCATAATACAGGAAAATCCTAAAACCAAATAATTTATCAATATATTGTGGATAGATCTTTGCACTTATAACTTACAGCATCTTCCCAATTCTGTCTGTTGTATGTATTTGTTGTCTTCGAAGTGGCCATTTTTCATATATTCTGGAGTATGCCTAAGTATTTATTATCTAAATACACAAATATTAAGCTAAATTAAGCTTAACTAATAGACTTAATTTTTATAACAATCAATGCTAGACATACAAATAGAGATAGGTTATTTTTCAACTAAAACTAAAATCCACCGAACAACGTTGTTGGTGCTAAAATCAGAGAATGAAGGAGTCAAAATGACAGACGTCTGACGTGACAGTTAGAAATCGAAAATTTAAAAACTAAATAAATAATTTACAAAATAAAACATATAATTAGTACAAAAATTGAAAAGGATCATACTGCAATGTAGTTTTATAGAATGTTAGGTAACTTTGAAATAAATCGACAAAATTATTTTACGTTAGTGTACGCCACTGTCCTGTCGAATATTTTTAAAAATTTTATTTTGATTCCTGTTAACAAGGATAAAGCTCTTGGACATAAATGGTTTCTACAATTATCTTAGTAATTAAATATGCAATCATTTGATTGTGTTTAAGACGTCAATAATTGGTTTTACGTCAACAAAAATATCTAATTACGTCATTATTGGTCGTCAGCTAGATAACGACCACAATTAATCAACTGTCAGTTGTCAAAGTCAAAGCATTAAGCAAAAAGTGAATATCCTACTCTCATTCCCATTCATGCGTATTTTGTATTTTGTATTTTGATGAATCTAAAAAATATTGAAATTAATGAATTTTATTATTTAAACGTGTTTGATAAAAGTATGAACTGTATGGACTAGTAGCATTGTGGTATTTAATAGTCGTTGAGGTAGGTGAACAAAGTTATGTTATTATTGTAGAACTTGCAACCTAACACGTTAACCCTTTGAAGATGGGCTTTTTTGAGAGCTTGAACATTATAACTGTAAAATATGTGTTTGAGGCAAGTTATATCGATAAAAATAAAACGATATTGCAAAACAGTTAACATATGGCATTACAGCTACAAGATTAGTTCACTGGAAATATCCAGTAGGCACTGAGCAAGTCAATGAGCATTATTTAGATAAAAAATAGCTTCAACTAAATTTTGTGGATAATTGTCCAAACTATTTTCGTTGTTAATGTATAATCTTGGTTTTGAGTAAAAACATTGCCAAATAGCTTTCAAATTCAGTTTTTGTCACTTCTCTCTTAGTTTGGACAGAATAAGTGCCAGAAGTTAAAATAAAAAATTGTTAGTGATGATACAAAACATAAAGTAGGGCACACATTTCTGCTATTTTATTTCCTATTTAGGGATCTTAAAGCAGCCTTTAGTGGTACTTTTAGGAACATAAAATGTAAGAGGCACATATGGAGAAGGCAAACTTAACATTTAGCAAGAGAAATCGAAAAGTTCCATTTTGATCTGGAAGGAAAGACTGGTTCGACATAGAGTGCCAAAAAGAAATAGAACTAAGAAAATCATTAAGGACGGAAATGATCATGAAAGAAACAACAGAGACAAAGAATGGATATATGGAGCAAAGACAAAAAGTAAAGAGGGTGCTGAGAGAAAAGAAGAGAAAACACATAGAAAATAAGCTAAAAGAAATTGAAGATAATTACAGAAATAAAAACCTATAGCAAGGTGCTAGAAATGAAAAAAGAGGTTTCCAACAAAACCCATATTCATTAAAAACAAAGCAGGAAATATATAAAGGTTGAAGCAGAAATAGTTGAAAGATGGAAAGGGTATTTTGATGAATTACTAAATAGCAATAATAAGTCAAACCAAAGAGAATGTATGGAAGCAGAAGCAAAAATCGAACACTTAGAAAACATAGAAGATAATTCACGCAACAAAGAACAAATCGAGGAAATCATAAAAAATCTAAAAAACAATAAATTCCCTGGAAGGGATAACAACAGCAGAGATGATGGAATATGGTGGAAAACTGCTAAATGATTGGATATACAAGATCATAAAGGAGATATGGATAAAAGAATGATTAGCAGAAGATTGGAAGAAAGCAATTATTTGCCTGTTACACAAAAAAGGAGAGAAAACAGAATGCAGTAATTACAGAGGAGTAGCATTACTAAATACTGTATATAAAATCCTATCAAAATCCATAAAAGATAAGCTAGAAAAATAAGTTAAAAACATAATAGGCAAATATCAGTGCGGATTTGGACCAGGGAGAAACACAACGGACCAAGTATTTGTAATCAGAGAATTACAACCAGAAAGCTATGAACACAATTAACAATAGCTCTATTCATCAACTTCCAGTAAGGATAAGATAGAATAAAGAGGAAATGGGGAATTAAAAGAGACTCTTGAGGAAATGGGAGTTGGCAGAAACTTGCGTAACATGTTACATCTTACTTTAGAGAATACAGAAAACAGAGTCAAAATCATTCATCAGACAGATTTATAGTAAACGAAGGATTAAGGCAGGGCGATTCTTTGTCATCATTACTCTTCAATTTGTGCCTAGAAAAAATAATGCAAGAAGTGAAAATCAATAGAGAAGGACTCCTATATCATAAAAGACACCAAGTTTTGGCATTTGCGGTTGATGTAGTGTTGCTGGCAAGAGGAAAAAAAGAGCTACAGGAAATAATACAGAGAATAGTAAAGCAGCGAAGAAAATGGAACTTTACATAAATGAAACTAAAGCAAAACGCAGTGGACAGATGATCAGTTGAGGGATAGACAAAAGTTTAAAAAAGTAGAAGTAGAAGAGGAATCAGCATACAAATTTGAAATAGTAGGAAGATTTACATACCTAGGTGCAATAATATCACATAAACCTAACATTTAAGAAGAAATACAAGCTAGAATAATGGCAGGCAATAGAAGTGTACATGTTCTTAATGGAATTAATTACTATTTAACTGGGAATAAGCCACAATTAAAGATAAAAATATGTTTATTGATGTTTCAATTTCCACTTCGGAAATCCTAAATTTTCGATTTCCGAAGTGGAAATTGAAACGTCAATAAACATATTTTTATCTTTAATTGTGGCTTATTCCCAGTTAAATAGTAATTAATTTACAATGCCACAAGAAAATAGCTTCAGAACAATATTTTTAATGGAATGTTGAAAAGAAAGTTTTTATCAAGAAAGGCAAAAATACAGTTATACAAAACAACTATACAAACAATAGTAACATACTGCAGTGAGACATGGACAATGACAAAAAATTAACAAAATTTACTGGAGATATGGGAAAGGAAAATCCTGATGAAGATATATGGAGGAATAACAAGGTACGGTTTATGGATATGAAGATCAAATGATGAGTTAAAGGAATTATATAATCAACCCAATATAATAGGAGTCATAAAGGCACAGAGACTAGGATGGTGAGGTCACCTAGAGGACTCCAAAAAGGGTACTAAACTTAACTATAGCTTCAAAAAAGAGAAAAGGAAGGCCAAAAAATAGATGGAATCAAGAAGTAGAAAAAGATATGGAAAAAATTGGACTAGAAAAAGAAAAATGAATAACAAAAATCACATATCGAGCCATAGAAGCGAAAATGAAGAAAGAACAAGCTTGTCAAGCCATGGGCCTCTAAGGCCTTTAGTGCTATTGTATATATGTGGATACAACAATAATACTCAATAAAAAAGCTAATAAAGAGGCAATTTTGAGTGATAAGGCAACAAAAATACTTTATAAACAAGAGAAGAGATTTGGAAAAAGTTTTAAAAACTTCTTAAATTATGCCTTTGTTTCAAGTATCTTTTGAACACTTTCTAGAGGTTACCGCATTATTATTATACACTTTTTCAGAATATGAATGAAGCCTCTTCAGTAGGAGGTCCTACAGGACCTTTAACCATAAACAAGGATCTTATTGTTAAGGAAGGATGGTTGCAAAAAAGAGGAGAGCACTGGAAAAACTGGAGACCAAGGTATTATATATTTCGTTGTTAAATATTTGGTTTCTACAGCTATTTTATTCATTTGTAGGTATTTCATCCTGCTCAATTACGGAGCATTGGTCGGTTTTAAAAGTAAACTAGAAGACTACTACCATGTTGAACCACTAAACAATTTTACTGTAAAAGGTTGCCAGATCATGTCCATCGACAGACCAAAACCTTTTACATTTATCATAAGGGGATTGCAGTGGACTACAGTCATTGAGAGGATGTTTTGTGTTGAAAGTGAACAAGAAAGGTGAGATTTTTTTTAGCTACTAGAATATAGCTTTTGGATTATTAGCATATTTCATAACCCTTATCCCTTGTATTCCATATTTTTCTTCCAGAAACTTTTTAATGCATTTTATAAGAGTTTTTGAAGCAATTTCACTATAGCATCATCAAAAATTGATTAAACATGTCTAGGTCATAGCTTACTTTAAAATTTTCAATGTCAAGCTTTCACATGAGTTATTTCCCTGTATTACGTTTACATATTGTGAATTTCTTGACTCTTCATTACTCTGAAAGTGGGGAGGGGGGTTACATCCTGAGAACAAGAAAGAGTGGAACTATTTGATTGTATATATGAATTGCTTATTTATGAAAGGCCTCTTGTCACAAAATGTAAATTTTGGAAAACAAGAAAAAACTGTTTAGTTTTATAAAAAACGATTTTATACTTTTCTGATTTTTCGAAACATTTTAAGAACCTTAAAACTCAAAAATAAATCATGTTAGTTACACTTTTTAAAATCAATATTACATTTTTTTTATTATTGAAAATAGCTGACAAAAGGCCTTTCATAAACAAAAGTGTTGTTTTACAGGAAAAGTTTTGATTGATGGATGAATTTACACCGTGTTTATTTATAATTAATGTTACTTTATTAAAACAGTTCTAAGACAATACAATTAGCTACAATTAATTGCCATTTTATACGTTTTGGCTCATTTTTTCGTTGCAACTCTAGGCCATTGGGCAAGCTGCAAAAGTTTCTTCAGGTCATTAATTTTTTGTTAATGAATTAGTACCTTTAATTCATGAGTTTTTCTTGCTAATGAGGAAGGGGAGGATGGCTCAGAAATAGACAGTGGATTAGATAATAATTTGAAGGTTTTGCTAATAAATCCACCTATGAAATCAGATACAACAACCACTCCTTTTTTAAATCTTTCGCAAGTAAATTCATGGTAGGAAGAAATAGTAAACATTTCCTTTTTTTGTTTTTCTCAATTTTACTTTCTTCTTAAACTGTATTTTTTTTTTTAAAATTTGGGCCACTAACTTTGAAAGTCCAAAACATTTGCATTTTCCACAAAATTCACAGTAAATTTTCTCTGTTTTGTAGAGGAAAGTACTATTTCTGTTTTATCTTTCAAAGTGTAGAATTTATCATGTTTCCTTAGGTTTCGTTTTACAAGGCCGAAGACCCTGTCACATGGTAAATACGAGTGACCCCTTATTGGAAGTCTATAGACAACTTTTTTAATCTTTCACTATCTGTAAGTTACATTAAAAACCTAATCATCGTATGATTTTTATTTTGTACTGTACAGTTGTCATGGATAAGTACAATTCATCTACATTAGCTTGAACATTCTCGTCATTATACTTTTTCAAGAAAGAGCAAACTTCATTACTTCCCTTTCCAGCAACTCCCTGGTGGTATAAATAAAATGTTGCAGTGTCATTATTACTGTAGTGTATGCCAAACGTATAGACGGATAGTTGTCTAAGGTAGTATATTTCCTGCACTGGAATTGTGAGAAGCGATATGTTTGCCATACAATCAAACATCGATTCTTTCGTCTGTCGAAGGGATGAATAAAACTTTTTGCTACGCCTCTTATGCACAAGTAGCTGCGCAACTGCAACTCGTTTTGCTGTTTCATTTAACTAAGGATTTTTTTTGTTGTAATATTGAGCAGTTCACATTCACAACAAGTGTCAATTTGAAGCCTTCTTCAAATTGAAGGCTTTTCATAAATAAACATTATTTTAAACTAATATATCTGATAAAGGAATAACAAGACATGAGGCTTTTCATAAGCAAACGATGTGTGAACATATGGGTTATCATTTTCTAAGTTAAACGAAAATTTGAAAAAAAGTGACATGAGGCCTTTCATAAATAACCGATTCATATGTGGAAAAATAATTGTGAAACACTTGTTTGGTGTATTGCATCTTTTAAACAATATTAATATCAAAATAATCATCATCATCCAGCCGAATTTTCACATCTATTTTTGGATATAGGCCTCCTCCAAACGTCTCCAGTTCTCTCTATCTCTAGCTGCTGCAATCCAGTTTGTTTCTATTCTCTTTAGGTCGTCGGTCCATCGGGTGGGTGGTCTGCCTCGACTTCGCTTGTCGGCTCTTGGTCTCCACTCCAATAATCTCTTCGTCCATCTTCCGTCTTCCATTCTAGCAACATGTCCAGCCCACCTCCACTTTTGTTTATTGATTCGCAGTATAATATCGTCTACGCCAGTTCGTCGGCGTATCTCCTCATTTCTTACGCGATCTTTCAAGGTCAGGCCCAGCATTGATCTCTCCATTCGCCTTTGTGTTACCCTCAGTTTTTCGGCAGTAGCTTTCGTTAAAGTTAAGGTCTCTGCTCCGTAGGTCAAGACTGGTAAGATGCATTGGTTAAATGCCTTCCTTTTAAGGTGAATTGGGATATTTGTTTTAAAAATGTCTCTCATCCGTCCATATGCCGCCTCAACTGATCGTCTATTGCTCGCAGGTTGGTTGTCTGGATTCTAATTTCATGACCCAAGTATGTGTAATTATCGATTAATTCTACCTTGTTGTTATTGATCTGTATCTCTTCGCTGGGAACCATATTGGTCATCATTTTGGTTTTCTCAAAATTTATCTCCAGCCCAGTTTCTTGTAGTATGTCATTCAGTTCTTGGAGCATGTCTTTGATCTCTCCCAGATTATCTGACAGAAGCACGATATCGTCCGCAAAACGTAGATGGTTTAATCTTTCTCCATCGATGGATATTCCTTTCTGTTGCCATGTTAGTCTTTTAAATGCATACTCAAGAACGGTAATGAACAGCTTTGGTGACATGGTATCACCTTGCCTGACTCCCCTTTTTATCTTTATTTTATTAGTTGCAGAATATAGACTTATGGTTGTTGTGGCATTTTCATATATATTTTTAATTATATTACAATATCTGTGGTCGATCCTGCAATCTTGTAGTGCTCTTAAGATGGACGGTAGTTCCACTGTATCAAACGCCTTTTTAAAGTCTACAAATATCAATGCCAAGGGACGGTTATATTCGTTAGTTTTTTCTATTAGGGTTTTTAGGCACTGCAGGTGATCGTTTGTGCCATAATTAGGGAGGAAACCAGCTTGTTCCCGAGGTTGGTAAAAATCTAGCTTTGTCTCTAATCTATTCGTTATTATTCGGGTGTATAATTTATAAAGATGGTTAAGGAGACTGATTGGTCTGTATCTTTCCAGGTCTGCTATATCTCCCTTCTTGTGTAAGAGTACAGTTATTGAATTATTCCACTTTGTTGGGATATTTTGATTCCATAGGCATAGATTAAAGAGCTTTTGAATTTTGGCTATCAGTACTGAGCCTCCTAACTTTATCGCTTCCGTGACGACACCGTATTCCCCCGGAGCTTTGTTATTCTTCATCTTTTTTAGAGCCTTGTAAATTTCGTCCAAGGAGATTTCTGGAATATCTTCGGAACCCTGATTTTGGACCTTCCTCTGTTGATATTCGACTATATCTAGAGTCGATTGGTTGCTATATAATGTCTCATAGAATGATTCCACAATTTGTAACATATGTTCTCTGTTTGATGTGATGTTGCCATTTCTATCCTTGAGTTTGACTATTTGTTTATTTCCATTTGTGAGTTTGCGTCTCATTATTTTCATACTCTTATTTTCCTCAATGGTTTTGATGATTTTCTCATCTTTGTATTTTCTTAAGTCTTTTCTGATTTCTCTTGATACTTCCTTGTTCATTCTATTTATATCGTCGTTACTAGAGTTTTCGTCGCTTCTCAGTATTCTTCTTTGTTCCATTTTTTTCTGTGTTTCCAGACTAATTTTTTCTTCCTTCACGCTTTTTGGGCAGCATTTCTTTTGAGCTTCTGTTATTGCTTCTACTATTATGTCATTTAGAATGTTAATATCATTTGTTGATGATTTTTCTTGAAGGAATTTACCGATATGATCTTCAAAATTTTGTTCGTTGTTTGGATGTGTCCATCTGTTTATTTGCTTCTTTTTTATCATATTGTGTCGTTCATAGTTGGTATTTAACACAATGGTGGCTCTCACCATACGATGGTCGCTTGATTTCGCAAATTTATTTAGCACTGTCACATCTGTAAATATGTATTTTTTATCAGTGATAAAGTAATCGATCTCGTTTGTCGTGTTCCCATCTGGACTTTTCCACGTCCATCTGCGGTGAGGTTTCTTGTAGTAGTAACTGTTCATTAGGAATAGGTTTTTCTCTAGTAGGAAGTTTAAAAGAGTGTCGCCACGGTCGTTCCGTCCCTGACTTCCAAAATTTCCAAGAGCAGTTTCTGCTGGATCCAGTTTTGTTCCTATTTTGGCGTTAAAGTCTCCACATATAACTGTGAAGTGTGTGCGGTTGTTTGTGATGGCTGTACTTAAATCATCATAAAAGACTTCGATCTCCTCGTCTGTATATTCTGTTGTTGGAGCATAGACTTGGATAACTTTTAGATTATATCTAGTATTTATTTTAAAGGTGGCATATGTAACTCTAGCGGATACTGATTGGACAGTTTTTAGATTTCCTGCTAGCTGTTTGTTTATGAAGAATCTGACGCCTCCTGCTGACTTATAATCATCAAAATAATCATCTGCTGCAATAATTTATCTGTTTTTAATTAAAATAAATCATAAAACTTGTGTTTTATCATGTTTTTTTTTAATTGTAGAGAAGAATGGGTAGCTGCTATAAAAATGGTATCTGAAAAGATATCAGATTGCGAAGACGTAGAAATGAATCCAGCCAACAGCGAAACTGGCACTATGGAAGATCTATGTGAGAAGTTCTCTCTCCAAGGTACTTCAATTTCTAAATCGACTGGAAAACGAAAAGTAACTCTGGAGAGCTTTGAGTTTATCAAGGTGCTGGGAAAAGGTACTTTTGGTAAGGTGATTTTGTGTAGAGAAAAGGCAACTGGCCGGTTGTATGCTATTAAGATTCTCAAGAAGGAAGTGATCATTCAAAAGGATGAGGTGGCTCATACTCAAACTGAAAATCGTGTTCTAAGAACCACTCATCATCCGTTTTTGACTGTAAGTATTATATATCTATAAGTATAAGTATTATATATATATATAATCTACATGTTACTTTAGTGCTACATATTCTTCTTTCTTTTTCAGTCATTAAAATATTCTTTTCAAACCAATGACCGTTTGTGCTTTGTGATGGAATATGTCAATGGAGGAGAACTTTTCTTTCACTTGTCTAGAGAACGGGTATTTTCTGAAGATAGAACTCGTTTTTATGGTGCTGAAATAATCTCTGCCTTAGCCTATCTCCACTCACAAGGTATCATTTACAGGTAAATATATCATAAACTATAGTTAAACATCTACTGTGATTTTTTGGTTCATTATAGAGACCTCAAATTGGAAAATTTGCTTCTTGACAAAGACGGTCATATTAAAATAGCAGATTTTGGACTATGCAAAGAAGATATAACTTATGGAAGAACTACAAAGACTTTCTGTGGTACCCCGGAATATTTAGCCCCAGAAGTACTAGAAGACAACGACTATGGCAGGGCTGTTGACTGGTGGGGAATTGGTGTTGTTATGTATGAAATGGTAGGCAAAATATCACTCAATATATTATATCACAATATTTATATACACCAATAATATAATCATAAGTGTCCAAAATAATTAGAGAATACTTCATTGTGTTTTACAAAAATCAGAAATAAATATATTTATATGATTTTCCAGATGTGTGGCAGATTGCCCTTCTACAACCGTGACCACGATGTCCTATTTACTCTCATACTGATGGAAGAAGTCAAGTTTCCGAAGAATTTGAGCACCGAAGCCAAGGAGCTGCTTGCTGGATTGCTCGTGAAGGACCCCACGAAGAGATTAGGAGGAGGACCTGAAGATGCCAAGCAGATTATGGCTCATCCCTTCTTCAGCAGCATCAACTGGCGAGATTTGGAACTGAAAAAGGTATGTAATAGGAAGGGGAAACAAGAAAATTGAGCTAAAGGGGGAGAAAAGTGGAGTATATATGATAATAAACAACGAAAATGATACATTTATATTTTGGCAATGATTTTCTATGAGAAAATAAAAGTTTTTGAATTACTCAAACTACTATTCAGTAGAATATATGTTATTGCAAGCCCCCCGATATTGATTGATTGATTTACAGCGATATATTGTAATTTTTTAGATTCCTCCACCGTTTAAACCCCAAGTAATCAGCGACATCGATACGAGATACTTCGACTCGGAATTTACGGGAGAAAGCGTCGAATTAACGCCCCCGGACACCAGCAGACCTTTGGGTTCCATCCAAGAAGAGCCCTATTTTCCTCAGTTCAGTTTTCAAGATTTATCATCTACATTGGGCAGTTCAGCTTACATTAGCGGCAGTATGACTAGCGTAGCTCCAATGCAGTGACTCCTGTTGTTGGCTAATAGTAAGTGTTACTATTTAAAAGGCGTGGCTAGTACTCCGCTTGTGGAGTTGTAGTCACTCCCATTTTTACGATATTTGACTGACTGCTCGTTTCTTTTTTTTTCAGTTCTGGGTACTTATAAGGATACAACCTACATATACACTATAAGTTATAAATTATCATTTTTGTGATAATCTGATATACATATGTAAATAAAATAAACCAATAATTTGTTTTAAAAACATACTGTAGTTCACTTGTATATAAATAAGTTATTCTATTTTGTAGATTTTGTAATTCACATTTTTTTATGTGTAATCTGGAGGAAGTTAATTGTTTTTTTGCTTATTCAAAAATAAATGTTACGATATTTTGTTGTTTTTTTATTTTGGAATTGCTCCCTTTTCATGTGTCGGTTCTTTGATAATGACATCCTACAGGAAAACATCACAAAATTTAACAGTGTGTGATCTGAAGGTAGATATTATTCCGAAAATAATAAATTGGACAAATGGACACGCTTGTAATGGACTGTTTTAAAATAAAGTAATATCTGGGCCCTGATTCTATTTCATTTCGATGTCGAAATGGACCGCAGGAGTGTGACGTCACGACTGTCACATTGTCATTATTACTTTCCAAACAAACATTGAAATGTCAAATCTCACGACATTTTAATTGCTATAAAGTTAACATTTTGCTTCCTCTGCTGCTTTTTCTTGTAAGTATAGTGTTTTTTACGATAATACCATACGATATCATAATTCAGAGTTCTATTTCTATGAAATATAGTTTAAAAGTTCTGAAACTAAGAAATTCTAACCTTACTTTATTGATACATGCATTTTATTGCTATTAGCATAAAACAATGTGCTTTATTATTTACACAACCTTGTAAAATTGTTGTAGGAACTATTAGAATACTTAAATATTGCCAAAATCGAAAAGATTCTATAAAATAAATGAAAAAATAACGAAAAATACAAATTATCCACACTAAACAAGGTTTGTTTGGAAAGTGAAACTGACAGGATGTCAATAAAACTACGTCATCACTCCTGTGGTCCATTTAAAAGCGACTACGCCATGACAGTCGCAATCGCTAGCGATTCTTTTAGTTAAAAGTGGGGATATTTACTTTATTATTTTGACACTGCTCAGAATTTGGGTTGGCCGTCTTGTTTATTGACTGCACAACGCTTGTTAAATGTTTGTTTTGTTTACGTTACGCCTTTTGTTTCTTGTTTGAGTTGTTAAATTTTTAGTGGTCATTCTCAATTATTATATTTTGAATTGAAAGAAATTGGATGGAGAGTCTGTCGGTTATGGTGGCACTAAATTGTCTGTGGACCAAAAAGAAATTATGGTGGCTTTTGACTTAGTGGTTATATTCTATTTTATATTTACTGCAGCTTAGTAATACTTATCCTAAACATTTTGGGTCTCCTAGAGGCATAAACACCCTCCTCCAAATATGGTTCTAATATCCTTATGAAATAATTTGCAGCTTGTTTATTAAGGCGGAATTGCTGCATAAATTGAGAATCACTTAGTAAAAAAGGATTTTGAGTATCCCGTAACATTCTTCTTAAGGCGCATTTCTACAAGAAATGCGCCAATTTGCGCACAAAAACGTAAAACTTATATCATAATGGCGACTGGAGGAGAACTTTAGACCAAGCAGACATCAGAGAAAAGTGCCCACTAGGCACCAACAATAACCAAGATTAGAACAGCAGTAGCCAAATTGAAAAACAATAAATCGCAGGGATTGGATCAAATAGCATCGGAACTACTGAAAGTAGGAGATGTATTACTAAAAACAATACATAACCGCTCTAAAAATTCGTGATGAGTTTAAAGATTATTTTATATCTCCAAATAAGAGAGTAGAATTTCAAGAGCATGCCATTCAAAAGGCAGCTTTACATCTAGGCTATGCAAGTCCGTCTTGCATGGCACATCTCTTGCCTAGCTTGACCTTTTTACATCTGAGATATTTCTGTGCAATTTTAGATCCCACTTTCATTGTTGCCAACCGAGAAAATATTTATCAATTTGAGGTTATTTTATTTTAAATAAATATAATTAAGTACTATACACTATTTATGGTTATTAAAAGGGTGACGAATGTCAACCAAAGAAAAGAAAACATTGTTATGGTTGAATATTGCTGTTGTAGCAACAATCATGAAAAATAATAAAAAAAGAAAACCTAGAAAATGCTGGGTCAAACCTTGGTTGAATGCAGGACTGGGAAATTTGAAGTTACCCCAAGAGTTCTTGGATGCTGGAGACCTTCAAAGTTTTAAAAACTTTCTTTGAATGAACGAGTCCACTTTCCTTAAGCTCCTGGATAGAGAGATAAGGTTATGTTTTATTCTGTAATGTAATCTATTATAAATTGTTATGTTGGCAACATGAATTTTAACGATAAATTGCAAGAAAAATAGAACATATTCTAATTTTTCGTCTAGCACAGGAATTGCATGGAAATAGCCCGTGGGCATGCGCAGTTCCATGATCTGTCTCACATGGCTCTTGCCTAGCATGAAAATAGCATAGCATAATATAAAACTGTCTAAACACATAATTTGTAAAAAGAACGAATAAATTATTACAACCAAATTATTTATTATTTCTATCTTCCATTACAGCCTGTTGAATATCTTCAAAAATTGTGGTTTCCAATTTAGTTTTAATATTGGGATATTTTATTTCCTTAATTTTTGCACCACAGTATTTTAAAAAATAATCAGTAGCATCTGGCTTGGGGCACCCAGGTACTGCAGTTCTATTTTTATAGATGTCAAAATTTCGACCAATTTATATGCCGAATCACATACAATTTCTCATAAAACGCAGCCATATTAATACTTTTCGCCTCAGTTTTCCTTGCAAGGTTCCATTGGACCGCAGGAGTGTGACGTCACGACTGTCACATTGCCATTATTACTTTCCAAACAAAACTTTAAATGTCAAATCTCAAGATTATTTAATGTCTATAAAGTTAACATTTTGCTTCCTCTGCTGCTTTTTCTTGTAAGCGTAGTGTTTTTTTACGATAATACCATCATAATTCAGAGTTCTATGTCTATGAAATATAGTTTAAAAGTTTAAATAAAGAAATTGTAACCTTACTTTATTGATACATGCATTTTATTGCTATTAGCATAAAACAATGTGCTTTATTATTTACACAACCTTGTAAAATTGTTGTAGTAACTATTAGAATACTTGCAATAAGCGGAAAGATTCTATAAAATAAATGAAAAAATAACGAAAAATACAAATTATCCACACTAAACCAGGTTTGTTTGGAAAGTGAAACTGACGTATGTCAGTAAAATCTACGTCATTACTCCTGTAGTCCATTAGAATCAGGGCCCTGATTCTATTTCATTTCGATGTCGAAATTTAAAAGCGACTACGCCATGACAGTCGCAATCGCTAGCGATTCTCATTCATTTCGATTTTAGTTAAAAGTGGGGACATTTACTTTATCATTTTGACACTGCTCAGAATTTGGGTTGGCCGTCTTGTTTATTGGCTGCACGCGGCACGCTTGTTAAATGTTTGTTTTGTTTACATTTTACGATTTTTGTTTCTTGTTTGAGTTGTTAAATTTTTAGTGGCCATTCTCAATGATTATATTTTGAATTGAAAGAAAATGGATTGAGGCTGTTGGTGATGGTGGCACTAAATTGTCTGTGGACCAAAAAGAAATTATGATGGCTTTTGACTTAGTGGTTATATTATATTTTTAAATTTACTGCAGCTTAGTATTGGTATTACTAAAAACAATACATTACCGCTCTAAAAATTCTTGATGAGTTTAAAGATTATTTTATATCTCCAAATAAGAGTGTCGAATTAAAATAAATTATTACAACCAAATTATTTATTATTTCTATCTTCCATTACAGCCTGTTGAATATATTCAAAAATTGTGGTTTCCAATTTAGTTTTAATATTGGGACATTTTATTTCTTTAATTTTTACACCACAGTATATTTAAAAAAATAATCAGTAGCATCTGGCTTGGGGCCCCCAGGTACCGCAGTTCTTACAATTTCTGATAAAACGCAGCCATATTAATACTTTTTGCCTCAGTTTTCATTGCAACAATCAAACAAAACAACACCGCCTAAACTGAACCTAACCTCGCTTTTCCCAGTCCCGCTAGTCATGTCAGATTAATTTCGACTCGAAATTAAATTTCAACCACTTTCTTGAAGTTGAAATTAATTTCGATAAATCGAAATTTAGTGACGTCCTTTGGTTAGTTCAGCTGAAATCCACTAGGCTCGCAAAGTCGCATTTCGACGTCGCCATATTGATTTCAACATGTTTTCAGTCGAAATCTCAATTAGAATCAGGGCCCAGGGCTCGAATCCAGATATTTTCTATGGTAGAATTTTCATAAATCCTTAATTTTAGGCAACCACCACTACATGTATATGTATGAGAGTTTGCCAAAATAACATGTTTTTCAAAAATTTTATATTTGTATTTCTAGCTTATTGTTAATTTAATATCAATAATTCAATACAGTACATTTCTGCGGTATAGATTCGTAGTTTCGCTAATAATAGTGATCAAAGATATGAAAGTAGGAATGAATGGAAGTTTTCACTAAGGAATTTAGAGAGGAAATTAAGATGCTAAAAGAAGAGCATTCACAATTGTAAAAAATGAGAAATTAAAAAAGAAAAACGAAGATGGCAAAAAATAAATTAGATAGAAAACAGTATGGAATTTCATATATTCACAGAAGTGAATATATGAAAAGGATCTGGACGTGCGATATGAATTAACAAAAGTAATGCAGAAACAGTCGAAATAAAATAAATAAAAACAATCTTTATTAATGATAATCTAACTAATCAAGAATTAGTTGATTTTAGTACGGTACCTAAATTGATGGAGAAGTATAATGATGAGACAAATGCACAAAAAAACATAAGAAAAACTATTAACACAGTATTTGGTGGAGGTAATATGGATACGATAACAAGAGTAAGGAAGAAATAAATATGATAATGAGCCTATTTAAAATAACTTGAAACTATGAAAAGGTAAATTCTATGAACTATGAAAAGTATAATGATGAGACAAATGCACAAAAAAACATAAGAAAAACTATTAACACAGTATTTGGTGGAGGTAATATGGATACGATAACAAGAGTAAGGAAGAAATAAATATGATAATGAGCCTATTTAAAATAACTTGAAACTATGAAAAGGTAAATTCAATGAGCGTGTAGGAGAGAGGAGAAAAAATAGTGATAAAAATGGGAGCTTTTGAAATTCAAGAAACAGTTATAAACAAGCTGCCTTCCAAAATTTTGTAGAAATAGCGAATGATAATATATAGCGAATAAAACTTCGTTAAGAAGCCTTAAAACCAACGTATAACTATTGTTAAACCAAAGCAAAAGCACCAATCTTCTTCTTTCGATTAACTGGATTATCAAGATCCGTCCATTCTTTGATGTTTTTCAACCATAAACCTCTTCTGCTACCTGGGCCCCAGTTTCCTCTTAAGTAAAAATTTAATTAAAAAGATTAACCACGTTGAAAAAGCGTTGCAAAAAAGTTTATAACAAAGAGAGAAACGAAAAGAGTTCAAATGCATTCAAAGTTTTTAAATGCGTCAATATTCATTAAAAGCTTGTAATAAACGTTTGAAAAGCCTTGTACAAATATTAAAAGGCTCTAAAAGTACCAAAAACAGTGCTAAAGCGTTAACAAGTGTAAGCAGCATCGAAAAAAGTTGTTAAAGTGTTAAAAGCATCTACAACATTTTTTAAAACAATTGAAACTCTTTGAGAAGACTTTTAAAAACACAAAACCGTTATAGATCTATTGAAATGACTAAAAAGATACAAAATGGCATTTTAAATGTAATAATAAGGATATAAGACATCGAAAAACGTTGCATATGTTGCATTTCTATCTGGTTACATATTCTTGGAAGCATAACAGCTTGCACAAGGAAGAGAAAAAAATCAACTGAATAGAAAGGTAATTACATCCTTTAAAATTAAATAGAGGATGATAAGAACACAATGTAGAGCTCAAAACACAACTACGTACATACTGTGAACACAAAAAGACAATGGCATAAATATGTAAGAAGGATCGTAGTAAACAGGTTAAAGTAGGAAAAAATATGGCAATGTAGCTTCTAAAAATGCTACAACCTGAAAATTAACCGATATCTAACAAGCAAAAGAAGAAAAATTAACTAATTGCCAATCCTATTAAATAAAAACTCATTAAACGAAGATATTTTTAGATTTTTGCTATCCCTATCTAATTTTGATCCAATTATACAGTTGTTATCGTCTTAGTGTGTCATAATTCTTTACAATATTCATAAGTTCGTACCGAAATTGTCATAATGTAACAGTAAATTAGAATTTTAAAGTATTCTATAATTGGGTACACGCACTGAATCGATTATTATCAAAAAATATTGCTTTGAATTATTTATTTCGCCATGTTTTTCATATTCACATCCAAAAATGCATTCAGTAAAAATTTATGACTGATTAATAAAAAATAACACACAATTTGTATGTGTTTCCGAAAACAAAAGATCGTATGAAAATGTAGGGAAAAAAATCTCTTTTAAGCCTTTAAATCCTCGATATTTGCACAAATTTGTCGAAATTATAAAAAAATATATTTAAGAAAAAAAAATTATTCTATGTTGTTTGAAATGAGCACAAATATGCAAAATATGCATCTACATTCACTTTGCATATATTCCGCCCTCTAGTAATTATATTTTATTATTTTATTCGTCTACCGACGAATCCATCGATATGACAGACACTGCCCAGCTGTGTATTTTTATTCAGATGGTATTCAATGACATGTTGGCTAAGGAAGAATTTTTAACAATCATTCTTCTGAAGGGGAAGACCCGTGGCGAAGATATATATGACGTTTTCTTAAATTTTGTAAAAAACTACGAGCTACCAATATATAAATTAATGTGCATTACAACCGATGGAGCACCAGCAATGACTGGAAACAAAAACGGTTTTGTGGCATTGTGTCGAGCTAATGAAGAATTCCCTTCATTTTTTTCATTCCATTGCATGATACATCAACAAGTTTTGTGTTCAAAAGTTTTAAACACGGAGGAAATTATGGGCATTGCAACAAAAATTGTGAATTCCATCCGTGCACGTAGCTTGCAACGGCGGCTCTTTCAGTTGCAGTTGGAAGATAGGGAGTCAGCTGAACGCACTGATTTAGTTCTTCACACGGACGTCAGGTGGTTGAATCGTGGAAAATTCCTAGAAAGGTCTCAAGAATTATTGCCCGAAATAACAGCTTTTCTAGATGAAAGAGGTGATGACACTCAGATTTTGAAAAACGAAAAATGGCTAAATGATTTGGCATTTTTGACTGACATCACAATGCACTTAAACACCGTTAACTTGGAGCTTCAAGGTAAAGGAAAAACTATTATTGAGATGATTAGCGCAGTAAACGCATTCAAAAGTAAATTGCAACTTATGATAGATCAACTGAAAAGAAAGGATCTGAAACATTTTCCGTCTTTGAAAGCAAGGATTCCTCAGTTGAATTATGATACGTATGAGGCTGAATTATCAAATATTTTGGGACAATTCGAAATGCGTTTTTATGATTGCAGTAAATTGGAAAATATAGCATCATTTATGAGTTATCCTTTTTCATGTAAAAACATTGAGGAATTAGCTACTGAAATAGCAAGTCAGTTTAATATGAACTCATGTTCTGTTGAAAATGAGTTGGTGCACATTATATCAGATATACATCTCAAAGCTACAGTATCTGATACAAATTTCTAGCGTTTTATATCTGAAGATAAATATCCGAATGTAAGGCAAATCGCCCTTCAACTGACGGCATTTTTTGGGTCAACTTACTTGTGCGAGTCTGCATTTTCTGAAATGAAGATAATTAAGTCAAAATATCGCAATCGACTAACTGACGATCATATGACATCTTGCTTGCGATTAGCACTCAGTGGTTACGTACCATCTTATGAAAAGTATGCTGAGGACATGCAGTGCCACGCTTCAACATCCAAAGCCACTCCTTAGTTAAGTTTAACACCATATGTAACTCTTTTGTTTTGTAACAACAAATAAACTCGCAATTTTGAATAACTATGAGTTTTTTCATTGATATTGTAGAGAAGAACCTAACTAAACCTAACCCAAACCTTGACTAAAATAATGTACCTATATTGTGCAGAAAGCTAATATCTATATATGCTACGGTACGCCCTACCTAGGTAGGTAGGGTGTATCGTGTATGTACGACAACCCTGCATCACATACACTTGCAGTTTCTCAGAGTCGATTGTAAGTAGTCTAAAAATATTGAGGTAGATCGCCAGCAGTTCAAGTTTGAGCACCCCTGGTCTAGGATATAATATTTAGTTGAACTTTGTTTTTTAAAGAGAACCTGTTTATTTAGTAAATGATTTGTTTTCTATATGAAAAGTATTTACAAAATAAGAGATTTTTATTGTTTTCTATATTAAAAGATTTTATAAAGTAAGAGATTTGTATTTTCAAGTCTATTTAAATGTAGAAAACTTTTTGAAACTATAAAAGTTGGTAAAAAGCCTAATAATCATTAATATATTTAGCTTCCGCGCTATTACATTAGAAAAAAAATTATTATTTTTTGTTGTTTGCGGATGTAGAACCCTGAAGATGAAATAGTAGAAAAAATAAAAAAACATTGTATTCCTCTATGCAGTAAGCAACTTTTCCGCGCTGTTACATTTCGAATAAAAAATAAAAAAAATTCTTCATGTTTCACTCCGTCCTAGTGCGGACCTGTCCTCTAGCTGAAATTTATCCTGCGGAGCGTGACGGCTACGACTCTGTCCTACCAATAAAACGCCGGTCCCGTTCAAATTCCTGCGTTGGCTTTAATTCATTGAATCCGTTCTGTTCTCCATTCGGCAGCGCTGGTGTGACAGAATCAGCCACCTCACGAGTTCTCACTTCATTCCAGCCCCAGTAGTCGAGATCGTTAGTTTATCAGATCGTTCCCTGTTACTAAACTAAAAACCGGTAAGTGATTTTTATACTAGAAATTAAATTATTTTTCGTCTAATTTGCGGTGTTAGACAAACGTAACCTTTATAAAACAGTATTTTTATTTAGAAAAATAAAAAATTCGTCTGAAATTCTTGCAAACAAATCGGTAAAAAGATGTTTATTATTGGATTAAAATAAGCTGGATTATAATATAGTATTATATTAGTTGTGGTAGCATATTTTGGTATCGAAAACCAAGACAAACTAACCGATTTTCTTAAGAGTAATTATCCAAACTATTTGCATCAGAGGTGGCTCTAGGAAATTTGTATTAGACATTGTTTTCGAACACAGGCTAAAAATGCATTTAAAAAATTATTACAACGCCTTATATATATCCATAAATAGTTTTAAAAATGTTTTATAACCATTAGTTTAGTTAATATTTAATGCTGTAGACTTTTTGAAATTAATAACTGAATAATTTGCTTTAATTGTAAGATGTTTAATAATACTGTACAACTAAGGTTTTTTTTAAAGTTTGATATATTCTGATAATCTAAATTGTTGTTTTGTGTGTATTATTAGGATTTACAATATACTTTTGTTTCAACCACACTCAGATGTGTTTAGTAAGTAAATTTGAATTTAATGCTTGATTTTTTTTTCTTAAAGCCCTTTTCTCTATTTGGATTGCCGAATAAAGTCTCTCCTAATTTTCGCCATGCATCTCTGTTGTTTGTAAGACGTTTCCACATTGGCCCTCCAGTTCTTTTAATATCGTCGCTCCATCGCATTTGCGGTCTTTCTCGTGGTCTTTTGATCTTTTGATCCTCTGAGTTTGTCTGATCTTCTCCATGTTTTTTTTTATTTAAACATAGAAAATCCACATCAACCACCAAGGGCTATTAGTGCTGGGACATACACAGTAGTACAGTTTGATAACTTAAAGTTTATTATAAATGTTTATGTCTTTTAGAAACTGCAATAAATCCGAGATATTTGTCGTAAGCGCAATTCTCAGGTTTCCACTAATTACTCGGCATGTTCTCTGAGGTTGGAACTGCCGACAGTCGACTATCAGATGCTTCACGGTGAGTTGAGTAGAGCAGTAGGTACAAATCGGAGCTGGTTCTTTATTTAGAAGGTGTTGGTGTGTTAGTATTGTGTGGCCGATTCGAAGACGATTTACGATTACTTGATTTCTTTTTTTTTCCTTATTGTGGTGGGCTGGCGTCTACTCGAGGCTTTATTGTTTTCAATTTAGAGTCTGTTGCGTTCCGGGGTGCTTGCCATTAATTTATTATATGATTCATGGACTGTCGTTTATAGTCGGTGTGGAGATATTTGTGTGAAGGTATCCAGATAAATGTAACCTTTTTATTTATATGGTGTAGTGCATTAAGTTCATTTCTTATATTTTGTGCAATAGGAAAGTTAATTAAAAGTTAATTAGTTCCATGAAGTTGAAGAGGAGTTTTTGATAGCTTCTAATATCGCTGTGGTTTTCCCGGTGTAAATGCTGCAGTGCTGTGAAATTCTAATGGCATATTTGTAGTTTTTATTTGTGAAGGCTGCGGCATGGCCATTTTCAGTTTTTGATGCATCTGTGTATATTATGTGGTGATTTGGATACTTTTCCATAATTTCTTTGATTCCATTAATGATAAGGTTAGGATTTATGGTATTTTTTGGGTACTGTCTTAAAGTTAAATCGGTGATAGGTAAGGGGGTAAGCCACGCAGAAAAGTCTAATTTTGTGGTTATGGATAATTTGAATTTATCCATGTTTATTTTAGTCAATGTCCAAGTTTGAGCTCCATATGTAAATACAGGTAGGACACAGGAATTAAACACTTTGATTCGCAGTCTTTGAGGTATATTTTTATTTTTAAGTACGTATGAGAATCTTCCGAATGCTGCCCATCTCACAATATTATGTACCTGAAGTAGATTCGGTTGTTGACTAATGCTTCTTCTATTGTCCACAGTTTTACGCTATCAAAAGATTTTTCATAATCTATAAAAGCCAGACATAATCGGAGATTGGATTCGTTAGTATTTTCTTTAATTCTTGATACTTTACTTTATTTAAAAATTTTCATACCTTTTTCTCGCTTATTGGCGTTTGCAATTTTCCGTAAATTTCGATTTGAATTGATTCCTTGATTATTTTTGTACGATTTGTCATTTCAAATTAAGTATACTAATTTTATCCATTGAATGATAATTTAAAACATGACGTGGTAGCACTGACCATACACATTTTATCTATATGTTTTAATTTACATTATGTGGAATGACTAGCTGGTCATGTTAGTTCAAAATCAAGGTTGAACATGATTTTTACATTTCAAAAAATAGTTTTGCAAATAAAGTAACTCTGAGTAATAATTAGTTCATAAAATAGATAATAATAGTTCACTATACCGCATTTTGTCGCAATAAATGCATATTCAAACCGTAGTAATCAGAAATAAAAGTATTTTCATGGCATATAAGCAAATATATGGGTTACGATCTAAAAAACGGAATAGAAATCTATTAAAGGGTACATCATATTGATCATTTTGTTTATTTAGTGTTAAATATGATTTCCAGAATTAATTAAAGACTTTATTTTACTATTATTGAGAAGATTGATAGATTCAAGATCAAAGAAATTTGAGCAAGCAAGCGAGCACTTTAATTAAACCCAGCCTGCGAGACATGTTCACCCCTAAGAATTACGTTCGGGTATAACAATTCATTGGCACAACTATGAGCCAAATGCTCTTTATGTGGGGGTCCTGGTAATAGAACCCCAACATTGTTTCCAAACCGAATTCAAAACTCAGGACAGCGTATTCTCGCTATATTCCTGTTATCTTCCTGTGGCTTATTCGCGAACTAAAATTGCTTACTTGTGCCTTAAGTCTCTGCTCTGAGCTAGGCTCAGTTCGGCGACTTGGTGCTCAAGGGATTGAGCCATACGTGCCCGGGTTTTTTTTTTTGTTAGTTTTTTAATTTTTTTGTAGGTAGCCCTTAAACAAAAATCATAGTTAGTACAATATCTATATTATAACATTGAAAAAATATACAAATATATGACAAAATAAACAATATATAGTTTGTCCTCTTAAGGCAACTGGGTCCAAGTTGTATTTAGCGATTTGTCCACGAGTGTTATGAGCTACGAACTATCTTCATTGTGCGTTGTTGTTGTTTTTTGAAGTGTTTTCTCTCTGGTGTTTTATTTTCTCTCTGGTTTGATTGTTGATTTTCTCTCTAGTATTATGTTTTTATTTTACTATTTGTTATTTTGGGTCTTTTTGTTTCTATCTGTGGAAAGCGTCGTACCTCATTATCTCTCGTAATATGTGACTGGGATGCTTCTCTATCTCCGCGAACTTTGTCCTTGCTTTTTTCCTTCATTATATCAGTCACTATGATTTGTTGTAGTTCTCTTAAGAAAAATCTTTCTGCAACGTATCTACTATTTATTAATCTTATTTTAGTTTTCAATCTAAGTTTGCTTTTTCTTCCTGCTAGGCCTCTTATTGATGCTCTTGCCATGTTGGCTTTTGTACTATAGCTTCTACATGTTTACTAAACGTTAAGCCTTTGTCCATGATTACTCAGAGGTATTTTGCTTCGCTTTTTCACTCTTGTGAAAGGACAGCTTGTGTCGTTTCGGAGTTTATAGCAATTTTCCATTTTAAACTCCATTCTTCTAGCGTCTATCACTGGTTGTAAGTTGTTTACCGCTATGTCTACATTTCTTTCTTTGGCCGCTATCGCGGTGTAGTCAGCATAGAGCCCTAGTAATGTACCTGGTGTTGTAGGTATGTCTGCTGTGTATATCGTGTACAGTCGAGGTGACAGTACCGCTCCCTGTGGCACTCCAGCCTCCGGACAGGACTTGTCCTATCCGAACTTTGAAACTACGATTGCTCAAGTACGAAGAGATTAGTCTTGTCATTGCCAGACTCTGTCGAAAGCTTTGCTTACATCTAGGAAGGCAGCTCCTGTGAATTGTTTATCATTAAATCCAGCTGCTATGTACTCTGTTAATCTGAGTACTTGTAGCTCACTGGAGTTTTTTTTATCTAAAACCGAATTGGGCAAATTAGGGCTAGCAAATGTCTAGTCTGTCTGTTTAAGCTTGGAGTCTGCTGAGTATTACTCTTTCTACAATCTGGCTGATTGCAGGTAGTAACGCCTATGAGCCTGTAGTTTTGCGTGAATGTGCTGTCTTTCCGATGACATGGGCATATTTCCATCTGTTTGGCAATTTCTTGAATCGTATCGCATTGATTATATTTGTTAAATATACTATGGCTCTCGCTGGTAAGTATTTTAGAGCTCTGTTCGTTATTTGATCGGGACCAGGTGCTTTTTTGGCCGAACTATTTTTAATTAGCTCGTTTAACTGCTACGGTGATGTAGTAAGGATGATTTCGTTTAGTTTTTCGGGTCTTTCTCTTTGTCTTTCGACTTCTTCTATGAAGTCGATATCCTCGTCTGGGTGGATACGACTCCTTCTTGAGCACAAGCCCTTATAGTGTATGACCGGTCTTCTAGGTAAGTTTCTGAACAGTAAAACGTCGTGTTACAATTTGGTTTTTATTTGAGTTTTGTTTGTGTTGTAAAATAATGATCTAAACAGCTGTATTATTTTATTTCACTTTGTTAGACACTTATTATCTAGAATTTAATTCAATCGTTATATTTTTAATCTCACCTGCCACACAGTTTGAATATTTAATTAGATTTGTTTAAAAGCACAATATTTACATAAATTAGCAGTACAAGATCATCTGTGGAATTTTATATCTATAATTTTTTGCAATTATAATACGAATTTAACAAATCTAACACTGCGAATAGGTTTAAATGCTTCTTTATTATGTAAAACAATACTGTTTTATAATATTTTTTCTTTCGAAGCTAATATTTAACCAATTTCATGTCTAAATATCATCTTCTAATTTGTATTTCTTCTCAGATGTGTAGTTATTATAAATATTAAGATTTTTCTAAGGACTCTTTTG